CCCCCTGCTTGTGTTCCCTCTCTCGCTGTCTCTCTCTCTGTCAAATAAATAAATAAAATCTTTAAAAAAAAAAAAAAGCTTTTAAAAAAAAAAAGATATTAGCCCAGTGATGGGTATTAAGGAGGGCACGTATCGCATGGAGCACTGGGTGTTATACGCAAACAATGAATCATGATGGAACACTACATCAAAAACTAATGATGTACTGTATGGTGACTAACATAATAAAATTTAAAAAAAGGTATTAGTCCTTGATTTGTTGGATATTTGCAAATATTTTTCTTAGCTTTTCATTTTCCTTTAACTTGATATTTTTGCATTTTTGTTTTTCTTTCGCCCACCTGACCTTTTTTCTACTTAAACAGAAACTGCTTTTTCTTTTTAGTATTCTTTTTTGTATAACTTTTTATTTTTTTAATATTCTTTTTTTAGTATAGCTGGCACACTATATTACATTCGTTTCAAGTGTACAACATAGTGACTCAACATCTCTATATATTATGTTAATTTTCACTACAAGCGTAGCTAGCATCTGTCACCATACAACACTATTAGAATACCATTTACTATATTCCCTGTGCTATACCTTTTATTCCCATGACTTATTCATTCCATAACTAGAAGCCTGTATCTCCCACTCTCCTTGACCTATTTTGTCCATTCCCTCTCCACCACAGTTTATTCTCAGTATTTATGGGTCTGTTTCTGCTTTTTAAATTATTACTAATTTTTGTTTTGTATCATGCTTTAAGGCAGTCCTTAGCTATCTCAAAATTATATATTTACCCTGTTTTTCAAAATTTTTGGTTCATTACCAGTTTTAAATTTTGATATGAGGTAGGAATGTAATTTTATTCCCCCAAAACGCCATAGCTCACCCTTTATTCACTTCTTTGAAATGCCACTTTTATTATATATTGGAATCTTGTGTCTGCTTAGGTCTGTTTCTGTACTAGCTTTCTCTCCCAGGGATCTCTGTTTCTGTGGTAGCACCAAACTCTTTTTAGTTAATGTAGCTTTAGAATATGCGATAATGTCTATTTAGGCAAGATCATTTTCACTTCTCTTCCAAAACTATTATTTACATTCTCAAGTACTTATTCTTTTGGATGAATTTCAGAGTTATTGGGTCAGTTTTTCATACAGTTCTATAGGAAATTTGATTGGGATTATATTAAATGTATATATTAAAGGGAAAAAGGTATCTTTAGATATTCCTTATGGTATATGCAGTATTCACTATGGTAAAGCATAGTAATTCGGTAAATCTCACTGACTAGCCTGGGAATTCATTCACTGCAGACCATCTTAATAGTCTTTATATTCTTAGTGCCCTATATTCAAAATCTTGCATGAATAATGACTGAATATGCATAGACAAAGAATTGATATTATAGAAAATTTGCTTGCACTTTGATTCTGAGATTTTTTAGACAAATGGAAAATATTCCCAACTGTGGAACAGAGAAAAACATGAGGATTAATGCAATGAGAACTTTTATCACCATAAAACAGTATTTACACGAGTAAACTGGTTTTTGTTTTTGAGAATTTAATTCTCCTAAGAGTTCTTATAAAATTTTCATAAAAGTGATAGAGTTGTGAATGGGGTGGATTAGTTAAAAGCTATTAATTTCACAAATGACTTCCCAGTTACCAGTCTCAGTTAATTTTGGTACATAAAATGGCCAACTTACTCAGATTTTTTAAGATAGCTACACAATTTGGTAAGATTTCAAAATGAATCTCCTAAAATACCGTCTATTCTTTCAAAAAATGGGACCATTATTCTACCTTAATAATTAAAAAATGAGTACTAAATAAAGAACAATACAATTGTTATAAAAAAGGCCACATAGTCTACTTTTTATAAATATGACATATCTACCAGATATAACCAATAATAATTGAACTTATTTGGTAAAAATACAATTCAGTTTATAAGGAATGGTGATTTAGTAGTTTTACTTTTGGGAATTATGGGGGAAAATGGAAATTATGTTTTTTGTTTTATAAAGATTTTATTTATTTATTTGACAGAGAGAGACAGTGAGAGAGGGAACACAAGCAGGGGGAGTGGGAGAGGGAGAAGCAGACTTCCCACTGAGCAGGGAGCCCGATGCGGGGCTCGCAGGATCCTGGGATCATGACCTGAGCCAAAGGCAGACGCTTAACGACTGAGCCACCCAGGCACACCGGGAATTATGTTTTAACAGCTGATTTATGTAGTCTTTCAGAAGATAATAAGTTCATTTAAATTTCTCTATATATTAAAATTTAAGCAAATTTGGGAGTAAATTAATGAAAGTATCTGTTTAAATGAGCAACAATATTTGTAAAACATTGCCTAGCACATACTATAAGGCAAGTCAAGCAATCAGTCAATCAAGTGGGCTCTAGTAATTTCAAAACAAGCTCATTTTAAAGTTATACTGGATAATTAAGGCTTTATTTTGGCATTGTGTACGTGAATTGCCAAATCTTTCTTTAATACTATTTGTATTCACTGTGCTGGGAAGGCCACAAAAGAAAAAGAATACATGACTCCTGCACTTAGTCAAGTTAAAAAAGAACAGGGGAATGTGACTTGAGTGTTATATAACAATGTTTCATTTATGTATCTTGTGTATGATGATTGAGGGAATTAGGTAAATGATGAAATATTGACATATCTAATATTTTAGCACCTCAGTGTTCTGTATTACAGTCTCCTATTGCTTTTAATGTGCAAATCAGGGCAGAAATTAAGGAACTTCAGCATTATAGGTAATATTCTTTTTTTAAGCTGAATGAAGGGTACATAAAACTTTATTATGTTTTTTTAACTTACGTATGTTGGATATTCTTGTGTACATATAAAATATTTTATAATAAAAATTGTTTAAAAATTGGGAGGGAGCTGTTCTCCAAAATAACTAATTAAATTATGTATTTTTTTAAGATTTTATTTATGTATTTTATTTTTTAAAGATTTGTTTGTTTGTTTGTTTGTTTGTTTATTTATTTATTTATTTATTTCAGAGAGAGAGAGAGGGCACGAGTGTGGGAAGGGGCAGAGAGAGAGAGAAACTTTAGCATACTCCACACTGATTTGGAGCCCAATGCAGAGCTCAATCTCCTGACCCTGAGATCACAACCTGAGCAGCTGAAACCAAGACTCTGACCCTTAACTGACTGCGTCACCCAGGCTCCCCTTTATTTATTTGAGAGAGAGAGTGCGTGAGCAGGGGGAGGGGCAGAGGGGAAGGAGAGAATCTCAAGCCAGTTCTGCACTGAGCACAGAGCCCAGTGCAGGGCTCCATCTCTCGACCCTGAGATCATGACCTGAGTTGAAATCAAGAGTCAGACGCTTAACTGACTGAGCCACCCAGGGGCCCCTAAATTATGTATTCTTTATTGTAAAATTGTTAAACTTGTCCACACAAATAATATTTTACATTATAACAAATATTCACTATAATCAAAACATTATTGTCATGCAAAAATAAACATTAACTTCAGAATCAATAACTGATTAGTACACTTAGAAAAATGAATTAATTAAAAAATACATATAACAAAGTGCTTATTAGTTTGCATCTCCTTAGGATGGTGATCATCACTATATAAGTTATTTCTAATAAATTTGAGTCATTGTTATCTTTTCTGAACACATACTTAAGTTTGATACTTATATTTGAAAACAGTTGTGATTATATTGTTAAGTGTAATTTCCATAGTATAAAGTATTAGTACCTTTTTCTTTTTGCAAGAGTCAGAATGGATCATCAATACACCACTGTGGCCTTGTGATAGACTGGATGTACTCAATCGACATAATCTGCTCTGTACAATTGCACATGAAATCTTGGCCAAGAGCCTTTACAGACAGACATTTGAAGTTTTGCAAAATCTACCAGGTTTTCAAAATTCTCAAGGTATGTTTTTTAAAAGTTTCAATTAATCTCTTGTCCATCTGGTATTTTTTTTTATTTTTATTTTTATTTTTTAAGATTTTGTTTATTTGTCAGAGAGCACGCACACACACACAACCAGGGGGAGAGGCAGGCAGAGGGAGAAGCAGGCTCTCCAACAAGCAAGGAGACCAATGTAGGACTCGATCCCAGAACCCTGAGATCATGACCTGAGCTGAAGGCAGGTGCTTAACTGACTGAGCTACCCAGGCGTCCCCATCTGGTGTTTAAATAAGAAACAGTTCTGCACCTGTTTTGGTTGAGCATATATTTTTAATGAAATTGTTTTCTGCAAAATGTGTTCTCTGAAAACTGAATATGCTTTTCTTTGTTTTGTTTTGTTTTGTTTTAAAGCAGAGGTGCTCACCTTTGGGTTGTCAGCAGTTCCCAACTGTTTTCGTCAGTCCCCTTTCCTTACCTGTCAGGTCAGCAGCAAACAAACAGTAATGCCCCAGCAAGCTTCATGTGGTAAAAATTCATTGCATTAGAATAATGAAGAATACTTCTTTTATTACTTACTATATATATAAATATAGAGCTTAGTTTCCATTACCTTGAAACATAGGGAAACATGAAATAAATGGAGGAAATTAGCAAATGACAAGTTCAAAGAAAGGGATTATTAATGTGGGCCATAGTAGGTAGTGCTCTCAGATCCTAACGCTCAAGTCTGAGTATGTCAAGTATGAACAGGAAGAGAGTCCATGTTAAGGGAAGCATGAGCAAAAGCTTTGGGTCAAAATGAGCTGAGCAATGGGTTCAGAGTGGCAGGTTACCACTTCATCAGAATGTTAACCTGAGGGCCTCCCACACTGCTTTATCAGTCAGTCAGTGTTATAGGAAAGTTCCACTGGTGGAGATGTTTAGGAAGAGACTAAAAGGTAAGGAGATTAATTTCCTGCTAAGGCCTAGATCCCTAAAGGTTGCTGCAGATAAAGTGATAAAGACCAGAGTCTAGGTTATAGATTGAACTGACTGAATATAGGGAATAAAAGACTTGGCAGTCTCCAAGGTGACTTCACTTTCTTCTAAGTGAGGAATTGAACTAGAAATGCCCAATAAAAGATTTGTTTTTAATTTGAGAGAGAATATTATGAGGAGGTGATTTATTTTTAGTCATGGGAAATTAAGTCTGAGGTCTGAACTGTATGTAGACAATGCAAGCAGAACTGTGCAAGTCATTCATTTTGAGACACTGCAGATGCAGACACGTGGGGATCACGAATGGGTGTTTAATGCAGCCTCTGCAATAGTTGTCAAGCTTCCTTTCTTATTCTTTGTTACAAAGTAAATGAATGAGTTTGCTTTTGTTGAATGCTTATTTGTTTCTTAGAGAATATATAAAATGATTGCATTTTAGTGACTGTGACTCCCATAGTGGGTAGCAAAGTGCCAATGGGAGCAGAGAGAAAAGAAAAGTAGTGAGAGAGAGAAGATGGAGAGACTAAGCTAGATCGATTTCATATCTTCTTTTTTTTTTTTTTCCAGAAACTGTGGAGGTCTCACAGTATAGCCTTCTTTTTAATAAACTTCTAGATGCCTGTATAGAAAGCAACAGTCTTGGTATGTCATCCTCTGTAGCAGAATTCATGATTTCAAAGAACATCCCTATTGATTTCTCCTTTCTTAGAAGATTAATTACTTCTTTAGGAAGGAGTTGTTTATGGCTCAAAGCCAGAGCCCACTACAAAAGTAAGTTACATTTAAAAAGTTTATATTTGTTATATTAGTTTTGACTTTGATTTTTCTAACCCTGAAGCCTTGCATAATTTTTATGACTAGGCATTTAAATATATAAAAAGAGCATTTGATACACATTCAAATATAGTGGTCTACACAGATTTGTGCTCTCTTTTGAAACCTGTTCTTTCCCTTGTTTCTAATTATTATATCTTCATTTCTTTTCACATTAGTATGCCCACTGGAGGGTGCACAAAGGAAATAAATGACAGCATTTGAACCAGTTTGGCATAACTTATAAATATATAGGAGTAAAATAACTGCGTAGAATGAAGTTTAAGGAGTGTTTATATATTTTATTCATCCCTGCCATATCCCTGATCTTTATAAGTTAGAATATTTTATAGCGGGCCATATAGGAAGTACAGAGGCTGCCATTACTGAACATGATACATAGTTATTTTGCATGGTTCCTAGTAATAGAACTTTGTTAATCTGTTTACAGTTGTTCTCCTTAACCAGTAAGCCTGGAAAACTAATGCTTTCTCTAGTCCCAGCCACCTCACAGGTATTTGAATTGGGAAGTAATTTCGTATAGAATCTAGATCCAGAAAACAACTCTTTTCTGCCTTCCTACAGTAATTTGTCTTAAATTTCTGTTTCTTTTTTTTTTTGAGAGAGAGAGCCTGCAAGCATGAGCGAGAGGGGGAGGGGAAGGGGAGAGGGAGAGAAAGAATCCTAAGCTTGATCTCACAAGCCTGAGATCATGACCTGAGCTGCACAGGTGCCCTTGAATTTCCATTTCTTTGACTGCCATGTATATAACAAACATTTGAGTGCCTACTATGTGTCACTACTATGCCAGATGGGCCAAACATCCCAGCCATCCCCACAGCACTGGGAAGTGTTTTTCACACTGCCAGCTGTGATCAGTTAAGCCGGTGGTGACTTTTTTTCCCAATGAAACAAGAAAGAAAACCTTAGCATACATTACAGGTAGTAAGGTTAAGTATTATTTGGTAAAATTTCATTTCAGTTACATGTATACAGATTATGTACTGGGTCAATCAAAAGTTTTGAAAGCAGAGTTGTTTTTTTTTTAAGGATGATCAGAAATTTAGTTTGTTCATAAACACCTCATTTCAATTTTTTGGTTATGTTTCAACTCCTTATACTGTTTCACTGCAGATTACTAGAAATCACACACAAAGTATATATGTACTGTTTGCTATAACTTCTTGATTTTAGTTTTTAGAATCAATGTTAATGGGGTTATTTATTTTCCAAATAATTGTTAATAATGGCATGTTCCCCAAATTGAACAATTAGAAGGTGTTTATATGTGACAGGAACAAAACCTAAACTTGGAAACATTTCAGTGAGATTTCTTTTTTTTTTTTTTTTTTTTTAAGATTTTATTTATTTGTTTGAGAGAGAGAATGAGATAGAGCATGAGAGGGTCAGAGGGAGAAGCAGACTCCCTGCCGAGCAGGGAGCCCGATGCGGGACTCGATCCCGGGACTCCAGGATCATGACCTGAGCCGAAGGCAGTCGCTTAACCAACTGAGCCACCCAGGCGCCCCAGTGAGATTTCTATGAATATCTGTTTTTTAGTTGGAAATAAGATTTTGTATTAAAGCAGCTAAACTTAAAAAAACTTGTAAAATTTTTTATTAACAGCTTTATTGAGATATAACTCAAATACCATTACAGTTCACCCATTTATAGTGGTGGTAAGGTATTCACAGTTGTGTAGCCATCACCACAGTTCATTTAGAACATTTTCATCATGCCAAAAAGAAACCCCATATCCATTAGCAATCATTCCCCATTTTCCCCCCAAATTCTTCCAGTCCTAATCATAATTTATTTTTAGAGTTTTTCTTTTTTAGTAGTGTTAAAACAATTCATGCCTAGGTACAATACAGTACCTTTTTTACTAGCACTTTTCCTCTTATCTAAACACATCTATGCCTAGTTTCATATGCAGTGAACTTCTGGGACTTATGCAGGTGAGGTATAGGACAGAGTATTTTTTTTTAAAGATTTTATTTATTTATAAAAAGAAAGAGAGCACACAAGCAGGGGGAGGGGCAGAGGCAGAGGGAGAGGGAGAAGCAGACTCCCTGCTGCCGAGCAGGGAGCTGGATGTGGGGCTTGATCCCAGGAACCCAGGATCATGACCTGAACCAAAGGCAGATGCTTAACTGACTGAGCCACCCAGGTGTCTCTATTTTTTTTTTTTTAAATGTACCTGAGTTATAGAATGAAATGAGTAATTTACAATCATTGATCAGTCTTCAAAACATCTTATTTCCTGACAGTGTTGACATTTAAAATATCGTTGGATCTTTCTTTAGAGTTATCTTCACACATAGTTACCACTCTAAAAAGCCTTTCAGTGCCTTATAATCAGTGTAGTGGTACTTGATTCTGGGCCGATGGCTTTTTCATCAAGACACTGTTAAGACTGTGGTGCCAGTGCCTTTGTTCTGCTTTTTTTTTTAAATATACAGCTTTATTGAAATAACTTCACATACCATAAAATTCACCCATTTAAAGTGGACAGTGCATTAGTTTTTATTATACTCACAGATTGTGCAGCCATCATCACAACCTAATTTTAGAACATCTTCAGCACCACCAGAAAAAGAAACCCTAAACACATTAGCATTCCCTAGATGCCTCCTGCTGACCCAGCCCTAGACAACAAGTAATCTACTCTATTTCTGTGGATTTGCACATTCTGGACATTTCACATAAGTGAAATAATTCAGTGTGTAGTTTTTTATGACTAGCTTCTTACACTTAGCATAATATTTTCAAGGTTTATCCATGTTGTAGCATGTATCAATACTTTATTCCTTTTTATTGCTGAATAATATTCCATTGTATGGAATTTATTTATCCATCCATCCTTTGATGGACATTTGAGTGGTTTCTACTTTTTGGTTATTATTAATAACACTGTGCAAACATTCGCATAGAAGTTTTTGTGTGGATATATATTTTTATTTCTCTTGGGAGCAGAATTGCTGGCTCATATGCTAAATCTATGTTTTTACTATTTTGAGAAACTGCCAATCTATTTTCCCAAAGAAGCTGCATCATTTTATGTTTACATACCCACCACTCAAGTTTGAGATTTCCATTTTCTTCACATCTTCACCAACACTTATTACACTGTGTTTTTTATTTTAGCTTTCTTGGTGGATATAAAGTGATATTTCATTGTGGTTTTGATTTTGCATAATCCTAATGACTAATGATGTTGAACACCTTTTCATGTGCTTATTGGCCATTTGTGTATCTTCTGTGGAGAAATCCTTTACCCATTTTTTTCTTTGTACATTTTTAAATTGGGTTTATTGTTGAGTTGTAAGAGTACACACATATATACACATACACATGCACACAGTACACATATAGATATATATACGCCCTGAATGCAAGTCCCATGTCGAATACATGAATTTTGATTTTTTTCTCCACTCTGTGAATTGTCTTTCACTTTCTTTATGGCTTGGCTTTGTTTTTTGTTTTCAAACTAATCAAAAGGAAACTGTCCAGGGACGGTAAAGTTGCCTTCCTGATGCTGCTGACTTGCTCTCACTAGTCCTAAAAATACTGATTTTCTCTCAGAGCCGGAAAGTCAGGAAGGGAGATGTTATTAGTGTGTCTTTCCATTATGTTTTCCCCCTAAAACCAAATGGGAATATTTTTCTTTTCATATTTGCTTTTAGGGGAAAAAAGTTAATGATAGTAAATTTCTATTCAGTTTGTTATTTTTTGTTTTCCTCATCTGATCAGCAAAGTAAAACAAGAATGTATGTAAATTATACTTATCAATAGCTAGGAAAGTAAATGAGTTGATAGTAGTCCTAGAAGTGACCTAGGGAGGTGGGACTACCTAGTATTTAGGAATCCAATATCTGTGGAGTCAGAAGGCTGGGGTGATTCCCAAAGCCCCTTCACCTATAATGTGGGAGTCACTGTACCTGATTTCAAAATAGTAAAATGTCAGTTAAAATTAGGTAAAATCTATGTGTTTACCACAGGTTCCTGGCACATAGTAAGTCCTCAAAGATTAACCATCATCATCCACATTAGATTTCTTAAAGAACTTATCTTAACAAAACATTTTAAACAAATTTTACATACAGATTTAAATTGGTTTCAGTAAAACAGGACAGTATAATATTGTCTATATACAGGTTGGATGTCTTAGGACTTAAGGGTATTTCCCTACATATCATTTGTAATAAGCACCTAAACAGTTTAAAAATTAAATCTCTTTTCTTGAAAAGTAAAATTTTTAGAACATGAATTGGTGAACACCTACAACACACTGAGCACCTACAACACAGTGATCACCTACAGGAAAGATATGTATTTTATTTATTTTTATATCTAAATAATGCTTAGCTCAATGTCAGACATAGAGTAGAACAGTAAATGTTTATTACACAAACTATAACAGCACTATAAATAAATGCTCAAAAATAGTATAGTATCTGTGTGACAAAAAAATCTCCAAATTATAATTTCTACTTTTTTTCTACATTTTGGATTCATAATTCAGGATAGGCAATAATTACAAATATATGTAGTTGCTATTAGACCAGATCCCATTTAAACAAAACCCAAGTCACTATTCTGGTTTTTTTAGTTATTCTGAAATTATGTTGTGTTGACCATGGCTTGAAATAAATGGGTAGTTGCCACAATGAGGCTCAAAAGTAGTTTTTAGGAGAGTTTTTAAAATATATTTCTTACTTCATATTTAATGTTTCAGAGGTATTTTACAAAGAATAATATCAAATGTACTAGGATAAGCTCACCACCATATAATTTGTATAATAAACCTACTGATCTGAAGAATCATTCTGTAATGTAAGTAATTATCACCTGTGGAAGTCTAGCTTTTCACTTGTTGGGGTTTTAGTAAAGTTTGATCTATTACTTGATTTCCAGGTGCTCTTTCATTGGGTTGCTACCCACCGTTGGAGGGAAATTTATACCGAAAACTTCTACTGATTCCTTCTTATTTATCTGAGATTGAAATGCTTTTAGCTATTGAAATCTTCCTAGTATCTAATGCTAGTAGTATTCAGAGTCCTGGAACTTCTACACAGATCCTGCAGATAGTTTTGAAAAGGTTGGTAACTTCTAACTGCATGCTAAAAGCAGATCATGGCTCCCTACACCTGACCTAGGATGTAAATGTTTTTATATATCTTACATTTTATAATAAATATTATATATATTTTTATGCATACTTTATATATACACACATATATAATATATATGTACATATACATACATACTAGTATATGTATGTATTTACACTAGTATATGTATTTACAAACTTTGGTAACTAGTATATGTATGTATTTACACACTAGTATATGTATACACACTAATATATGTATATATTTACAAACTTTGGTAACATTATACACACTAGTATATGTATGTATTTACAAACTTTGGTAACATTTAAATTGAAAAAGGATTTGACCTGTTTGAGACTTAAAACCAAATAAGCTGGCATTTAATAAATACATTAGCAACTTCAAGATGCTGTCAGATGTTCAAAGAAATAGACCCCTCTTTAAGTATCAGCCTTTCTTGTGTACAGATAGTTTTTAGATAGGTATCTAAGAGTTACTTATCTTTCTGGTCAACACAAAAGATCTAAAAACCAGGTCTAAAAGGGAAATATGTGATAGTTTATTTGGCTCAGTAAAGAATTCTGTTGAAAATAAAGCTATCAGCCTAATTTCTAGATTTTAAAATGTTGTTATAAATGCATAATATTATAATGTAGCTGTTGGACCAGACTGGTATCTCTTCGAATAATTTTGTTCGAAGTCCCAGACTGTAGGCTTATACCACTCAAATTTCTTATCAGCCTATCAAGGAAACTAATAAAGATCTCATGGGTTTCCTGTTTTAGAGTTTCTTGACAAGAATTTTGCTTCAGTTTATCAGTATTATAAACCACATCATCAGATTGGATATCCTATCAGTTATCTATTACTGCATATAAATTATCCCCAAACAGCTTAAAACAGCAAATATTATTTTAATTTCTGTGGGTCAGGAATTTTGGAGTAGCTTAGCAGTATAGTTCTGGCTCAGAATCTCTGAGTTGGTCAGGAGTTGAGGTCACCTACCTGATGGTTTGACTGAGGCTGGAGGATCCATTTTCTAGATGGCTCACTAACATACCTGTTGCCAAGAATCCTCAGTTCCTTGAGTGTTTTCATGACAGACAGCTAACTTCTCTGAGTGAGTGATCCAAGAGAGAAAAGGCAAGGAGGAAGCTACAGTGCCTTTTTTTTTTTTTAAGATTTTATTTATTTATTTGACACAGAGAGAGAGAGAGAGAGGAATCACAAGTAGGCAGAGTGGCAGGGAGCGGCAGAGGGAGAAGCAGGCTCCCCGCTGAGCAAGGAGCCTGATGCGGGACTCGATCCTAGGACCCTGGGATCATGACCTGAGCCGAAGGCAGACGCTTAAAGACTGAGCCACCCAGGCGCCCCTACAGTGCCTTTTATGACCTATATCAAGAACTGTGAAGGCTCTCAATTTCACCCTATTTGCAGGCTACCAGTCAATCTGACATGGTTCCTAAATCCTAGCATAAGACACAAGATTCTTTTTTTTTTTTAAGATTTTATTTATTTATTTGACACACAGAGAGAGAGCACAAGCAGGGGGAGCGGCAGGCAGAGGGAGAGGGAGAAGCAGGCTCTCTGCTGAGCGGGGAGCCCGACGCGGGGCTCAAGCCCAGGACCCTGGGATCATGACCCGAGCTGAAGGCAGTCACTTAACCAACTGAGCCACCCAGGTGCCCCTAAGACGCAAGATTCTTGCAGTGAAGACAGAAGATGTTATTACTTATGGTACAGCAAGCAGTATGATTATCTACATATTTGTATCTCTTGTTTTGCTCCCCAAGTCCCACAGATGGGCCCAGCTGGATACCTGCACATGCACTGGGTTCTGTTATAGAAGAGTAATCTTGAACTTTAGGGGACCTGAATCTGTTACAGTGAATGAAAAGCATGCCTGCCCTGTTGCTCTGCAGGGAAATACCATCTCCATCTTGTAAGGCTATAAGGAAACCTACCCTTTGCTCTAGAAGACCCTATCTTTGTCTTTCGAGGTTGTCCACTATATAAACATCCTTGAAATGCAGAACAAGAGGTAGTAAGTGTCTCTGCTCTCAAAACTTCTAGAAATGCAGAGACCCAGGAAGAATTGTCATCTAATAACCAGTGTCCAAAGGTACACGCTGTCATTTCTGCCTAATTCCATGTGTGATAGCGAGTCATTTAACCTAGCCCATACTTAAAGGGAAGAAAATTAGAAAATTTTTTTAAAATTTTTTTATTGTTATGTTAATCATCATACATTACATCATTAGTTTTAGATGTAGTGTTCCATGATTCATTGTTTGTGCATAACACCAGTGCTCCATGCAGAACATGCCCTCTTTAATACCCATCACCAGGCTAACCCATCCTCCCACCCCCCACCCCTCTAGAACCCTCAGTTTGTTTTTCAGAGTCCATCGTCTCTCATGGTTCGTCTCCCCCTCCGATTTCCCCCCCTTCATTCTTCCCCTCCTGCTGTCTTCTTCTTTTTTTTTAGAAAATAATTTTTTTTAAAGTAGGTTCTACACTGGGCTTGAATTCACAACCCTGAGATCAAGACCTGAGCTGAGGTCGAGTCAGACACTTAACCGACTGAGCCACCCAGGCACCCCAGGAAATAATTTATTTTAGGTCCACAGTTTTTTAAAAACCCACTACAATTAGCTTTTTTTTTTTTTTTTCTTTTAGTAGCTCTGTTCTTTTCTGAGGGCCTCCTTGTTTACTACTGTGCACTCTAAGTGGCATGAGGCATTTGCACTCCCCAACTTCCTGAGGAGGGTCTGATTTTCTCATAGCTTTTCATTCCCCATATATATGCAGCCTTTTTATTCATTGTTGAATTTGGGGGGTATTTGTGACCTCAGTGCATAACTAGTGACATGCCTAAATCTTTAACTTTGTCCCAAACAATATGATTTTCTCTATTATTATTATCATACTAAGACCTGCCTTGTTACACTAACCTCTCTCAGGGAGAATTTTATTCATCTTTAGACTTTCAAAAACTGCACCTAGTTGGCATATGCCCAGTCTACCAGATTTTAGGCACCACTTCCTAAGCCAGAATGTAGTAGAAGGCACCTGCCAGTCCTTTTTCTCTGTGACCTCTCTGTGACTACTCTGTGACCACTTGGTGACTAAGCTGAAGTTCTCACTCGCACCACTCTGTGCAACACACTAAGGTATTAATGCAAGTAGACTCATTCTTGCACCCTGCTGTTGGGCCCTATAGGTGCCAAGAGCAGGATACAGTGAACACAAAAAACTGATGCCTAAAATAACAGCCACATCTCTATTTTAAAAACTTCCCACTCCCTATCCCTTAGGATAAACAGTCATAAGAATTTTATGAAATTTGGAGACTGGTAGAAAAGTTATTAGAAAAGTAACTAGCACTTTGTGAAGAATCTTAAATCAAGACTAAAAAAAAAAAAACCTGGAAATTTAGTAAAAGTATATAGCTACAATTCTGTTACCAAAGGTTAGCTACCTGTTAAGTATATGCTTATAATTAAAAATAGCTAATATCAAGGTAAGACATGTGACTGTTAGTAACTCCAATTTGATTAAATTCAGTATTCTTGTATACATTACAGTGAATAGTATGCAGTTACCAACTTTCAGAATACAAAGAGAGAGGTTATTAGCTGTGTTCCAGATCACTGTTTTTCAAACTGTGGGCTGTAGTGCATTTGTGTGATGAAATCAATTTAGGGAATTGCAACCACATTATTTTTTTTAAAGATTTATTTATTTATTTGAGAAAGAGAGAGGAAGTACATATAGGGGAGGGGGAAAAGAGGAGAGAAAGTCTTAAGCAGATTCTTCGCTGAGTGCAGAGTGAAACGTGGGAATGGGCTTGATCTCACAACCCTGAGATCGGGGCCTGAAACCAATTACAGATGTAAAATTGGATTTAGACCCTGTACTGTGTATAAACTTACTTCATTCCTGACAGAAGAAGATTAATCAACTGTGCCACTTAGGCACCCCTACAACCACATTATTAAAAAAATAAAAGACGGGGATCCCGCCTGGGTGGCTCAGTCAGTTAAATGACTGCTTTCAGCTCAGGTCATGATCCCAGAAGGAGTCCCACGTGGGGCTCCCTGCTCAGCAGGGAGCCTGCCTCTCCCTCTGCCTGCTCCACCCCCTGCTTGTGCTTGCTTTCTCTCTGTCAAATAACTAAATAAAATCTTTAAAAAAAATAAAAGACAGTAGAAAATAAAGTACATTGTCTTAAGGGTAAGTCTTATTTTGTGAAACTTCCATCTTTATGTATGAGGGTATATACTGGGTCACAGTATAAAATGTTCGAAAAAATTTGAAAGCCACTATCAGAGGAATACAGTAAAAAGACTCGTAGCTTAGTGCCAGTAAATGTAAATGACTCTTGAATAAACTATAGTTTCTGACTTTGTGAGTTGTTCAATTTGTAGATGTGAAGAAAACAAATCTCGGAGCAAGGATGATTATCAAGCCGCAGTGGAAAGATTAATTATGGCTGCTCGTATATCGGATCCAAAGCTCTTCATTAAGCACATGACCGTCAATGTTAATAAGGAACAGGTTTATAGTTTGGAACACTGTTCTGCCCTGAAATGGTTGAAAGAGAATATGAAGTGGGCTGGAAAGGTTTGGCTTTTCAGTAACCATTAGTTAATAAAGGCTTTTTTTTTTTTTTTTAAGTTCAAGTAATCATTGTTGAAAATAAAAGGCAATAAAAATAAAGACAGTTTTCACTATATTCACCTTTTACCTTTTATTGGTTTATAGTAAGTTAATAGTTTCCAAACACTAAAAATTTGGATTGAAGTATGCAAATGGTTTTATCCACACTGAAAAGTGATTTTTCAAATTACTTTTTGACTTCTCTTTACCTTAGGTAAGCCTATGTATGGTTAATCCCTATTTATTCTGAAATCTAAACAGTGGAAAATCACAAACTGAATATTGTGCAGCATTTAATAAGAGGAAGACCTTAAAAGGGAAAGTAGGTGAGCAGGTAACTGGAGTTTTCAGATAAATCTTTAGGGGAATGAAATAAGTTTATACACAGTACAGGGTCTAAATCCAATTTTACATCTGTAATCTAGAATAGTAAATACAATTGAAAAATGATACTAAAATTCTAGAGCACCTTCTGAGTTATACCAAACAATTTTAAATTACCATCGAATAATTTTCCTTTAGTGTACCTTAGAATGTTACGTATTTTGGAAATTTGTAATTTGTTACATTAGGTATGACTAAAGGAAACTATTTGAAACAAATATACCACAACCTAAATACCCTAACAAGGACTGTTCCCAACCACCTTAGGAAGTTAAAACTCCTTTTCTCAAGTCTTCCTCCGGATCTGTAGCACTATCCAAAGTGATCATTCTCAATTCTTGATTTGATACTTTAAAACATAATTTAAAATCATTTAGAGAAAAAGTCTGAATAAGGTGAGTAATAAAAGAGTAAGTCGTGACTAAGGGGACTTAAAGTATTTCTTAAAATTCTCAAAATATGGTAATAGCATCACTGGAATAAGTCTATACCCTCCCAAGACTAAAAAAAAGTTAAATCCTAGCACTTAGCAAAATGCCTATTATCATATGATGAAATGTGAAATGAATACTATCAGAACGAGATATGGGAAGTGAAGCAGAGGAAGGGTAAAAAAAAAAATGCTCACTTCTCTAGTATGAAGAAACCCAGTGACAATAACTGCCATTACTTAAATGCGGCACCTAGAAAATAGGTTTGGAGATTACTAGCATCAGTTTGAGGCGCCTTTGAGGACACTTATAAATTAGCCCTTCCTATAGATGGAAACTGAAAACCAAAGAAAGGGGTTAAAGAAATATGAGACCATTTAGACGCTGGTGGCCAAGAGGCATTTGGAAAGATTAAAATGCGAAAGATGGTAAATTAAGCTTATAGGGGGAAAAAAATGGGATTGGATGGAACGGATCACAAGTGACCAAATTGTCAGGAGCAAGAGCCTTTAGGGATGAACAAATGGGAGGCGGCTTTCCTTCCTTCCTTCCCTTCCTTTTCTTTTTCCTCTCTCAACAGTGCCAAAAGGTAGGGAAAAGAGCGGTTGGTGCATATGCCTAATTTCATTTGTGGCCGTTCCCTGGGATAATCAAAGCCACAAGAGCAAAGTAAAACTAAAACCCAAAAAAAGGGGGCGGAGGGAATGTTTAAGGTTTGAAAATAGCAAGATCTCGAAGGGACCAAAATCAAAAACAAAATGTAAGCTGGAGAAAAATGTTTAGGAATTAGCTATATTTCTGTAAGGAATCCTAAAGGGCATACTTCAATAAGACCTTTAAAATCTGGTGCTCTCAACTGAGAGCCGACCTAAGGCTCCAGCTCCGAAAGCGCCGCGGGCGATTGGCAAGGACAGCCTCGCCCCCTCCCTGGACGCCCTGGGTGGGAGACGCGGGGCGGAAGGGCGCGAGGCGGCCCGGCGCATGCGCGCGTGCCCCTACTTCAGGCTCCAGCGCGTGCTCGGTCACCCTCCGCTCCCCGTCCTGTCCACCCGTTCCGGTCAGGCCCCGCCACCTGCCGCCTAGTCATTTTCCGACGCCCGGCGGCCTAGCCCGTTACGTCTCCAAGTGATCATTCGCGTCTCCCAAAGCTTTCCGCGGAGCGCCCCCCGGCCCGCCGGTAAGAAGGCGGAGGGGCAAGGGCTTCAGGGGAGCGGGGATGACAGCCGGGTCACCTGGGGACCAATAGGGGGTTCCCCCGCGTCCGGCTGCGCGCAGGCGCTCAGGGAGAAAGGCCGGGCACGCGTCGGCCAATGAGAGCGCAAGCTCGGCGCCGGCAGCGCGCCGGACTTACCCTGAGCGACCCGCCGCGGCCGGTGCCGGAGGGATGCGCGAGCGGTGCGCGCCCGACTGGGATTTCAGGGGCAGGGGCTCAGCGATCACTGCCTGTAGAAACCTGTCAGCTGGTCCAGTGGGACGAATGCAGGTGAGAACGCCAGGCCCTGGGGCGCGCGCCAGTTGGCAGGGCTGGCGCCCCGGTGCGCATGCGTCCCCGCACAGCCCGGCGGGAGCGACAATCCTTCCTCCTGATGCGGGGTGGGAGGTGGAGCAGGTCCGCGGCATCCCACGCGGCGGACGCTGGGCGGAACTGTAAGGAGCAGGAGGGGAGGGCCTCCAGTGGTGCCGTCGGGCTGCTCATCGCGGAAAGAGGGGTCCGGGCGGGCAGCTTGCGGAGTCACCTTAGGTCGACATGATAACTTCTGAAAAGCGATTCCAGGGCCCGGAGTGTACGCACCGCATCTGTTTTAACTTGTTTTGAAATGAGAAACCAAAGACGGTTTAGGTTTGTTTCCGACTATAATGTTTCCCCGAAGTCCTTACTTTTATCATAGAAGTGTTGTGATTCACACCTCATAGCTAAAGATTTAGGACGGAAGCTAAAGAACCTAGGTTCTTTGCTGTTGTTCTAATTTATTAATTTATTTAATAGGAATTTCCTGCTTTGCTTTTTCTTTGCCTTTCTCGCTTCCCTGAGAAGTAGTCAACTGAAAAGCGATGAAAAATTGCCTGCTTTTATTTCTCCTTGACTGAACAAACTGCTTTTAAAAACCTTGCAATATAGTTACTAAGATAAGTCACAGTTTAAATGAGAGTAGCCTGAGGATATTAAACTTTGTTAAAATAAGTTACTTTCAAATAAAAATTGTGCCAAATGGCCAAAGACCAATCCTAGAACCTTTATTTAACAAACACTTACTATTTCTGTATCTATCAGAGGTAAGCAAAACCGTTTTTCTTTAAACCCATAATTTGGCTTTTCCACAAATTAGATACCTCTTTCTCCTAGATTTGATCTGAAACTGCATAGATTTAATGCCTCAGCACAGAGTTTAGGTTAAAATCAAATTTTCATTTTATGAAATAAAAGCTAATATCCCTATTAAGTGGATGACAGTGGCCATTTAAGATGGTTTGTAAATGAATTGTGACCTTCCTCATCTTCCAGCCTCAATCCAGAGTTCTCTATCTCCTTGGGAAAGACCTTCCAAATCCCCCTACCCCCCCATAATACTCAGTGCATGGCTGTATTATTAACTATATTTTATAATTATCTTTATTTTTCCATTCCCTCCATCTTTCCTAAACTAAATTTTTGGACAAGTGGGATTGGCTTAGTGTTTTTTTATTCCCGGTACTTTGCACAGAGCCTGGCACATAAGAACTTGATAAATGCCTGTTGATAAATTAGGTGAATTAAGGACCCAGATGCCTCCCTGAAGAGTTAGTTATTTTATAGCATGCCTGAGGCCTTTTCCAAATGGAAGAATAGTAGGCTATATGGAATTTGTTTAAGACCCACCCATGTAAAAATTTGTCTGGAGACAAGAACCCTTCAGTTGACCTGGGTGCCCGAGGCTTTCAAACTGTTTCTCACTAGCAAGTGGGAGCACCCAACTCCACTCTGAAGCAGTGGATTTTCAATCTGCTAAAAGTCATTTTGACTTTCAGGGTAGCGAAGTCCTATAAGGGAAAGAAACACAGATCTAAGTCTTCTTGTCTTGTTGGCCATCACATTTCGCATAGTAAATTTAAACGTTAACACTGGGCAGTTATTAGTCAGGCCCCTTATGATTTTGTTTTCCCTGAAGCCTGTGTATTTCTGGCTAGAGTGATGAAGTTGGGTTCTTGGTGTTGCAGAGACGAGGACTGACCCAGGATCTGTGCCACATGAAAAGGCAAGCAGCCATGCCTGCCAGAGGGCTGAGGTTTAACCTTGTTTCCACTTAGAATTTTTTTTAAGCTCAAGAAGTGGGTAAACCATACAGAAAACAAAGAACTAGTTCAAACAAAACTTAAAATTATTTGATTTTTCACATACAATTGAGTATCCAGAGATATTTCCATAAGTTTGTTAAAGAAGCATTTTTAATGAATTAAAATTTAAAAGTTTTCTGACACCTCAATCCTGTAAAATAATGAAATAAGGGTTCCCTAAACTTAAGTGTGCATCAGAATCCCAAAGGCATGTTAAAACAGATTGCTGGGCCCCACCCAGTTTCTGATTCTGCAGGACTGGGGCGGGGCCTAGTCATTTGCATTTCTAAGTTCCCAGAGATTCTGTTCCCCTTTGACAACTCCTGCCCTAAAGGTTGTTTCCTGTTTCTTTTTCTTTTGTTTCTTCCCTAATCCCCACCTTTCCAAAAGGAACCTGATCCCATCATTCTTTGCCTGTCACTTAGTTATCTGAGCCCACTCTTCAAGGAAGACTTACAGGAAATGCTTAAAAAAACTCATAGGACTCCAAGGGGAAACCACACATTTCCTATCTGGTTCTTCAGAACCAGAAAAAATATTTTTAATTTTTTCAGTGATTTAAATAGGAAACGATCATCTTAGAAAAATAATTTTGTTGAGTGTGTATCAGAATTAAGTGAATTTTTTTTATGTACATAGGCTTTTTCCTATAGAAATATGAGTTGGCCACCATTGGTGGGGAGAAGGGGGGATTGTTGGCAAAAGGAAAAGAAGTTCCATTTCCTCTCATGTTGTCTCTCCTCCTCCCAGTTGAGAAAACCGCTTTATTAATTCATTAAAAAGGCAATTCCCACAGCACAATATAATTTTATTATATCCAGTTATCTTTTTTTTTAAGATTTTATTTATTTTTTTGACAGAGACACAGCGAGAGAGGGAACACAAGCGGGGGCAGTGGGAGAGGGAGAAGCAGGCTTCCTGCTGAGCAGGGAGCCCAACGTGGAACTCTATCCCAGGACCCTGGGATCATGACCTGAGCTGGAGACAGAAGCTTAACAACTGAGCCACCCAGGTGCCCCAAGTTAAGTTCTCTTTTTTTGAAGAGAAGTACTACTGTGAAAACTTGTTTTTTTTATTACTTAGCAAGTGCTAACTTTCTTTTTGTCTTTGAATCTTGTTTTTTTTATTACTTAGCAAGTGCTGACTTTCTTTTTGTCTTTGAATAACAAAAATAAACAGCCATATTTATTTGTTCTGATAGATTTAGTTTTTTCCCTAAAGTTTATGAAATTAAATCATTCATTTGTAATTTTTTACTTGTATATAGTCTTGCATTGTCTTTTTTAAGACTTTCACACACCCTTATTATAATTCTGAGTTTTCCAGTTATGAAATTTGTTTTTGGATAAAATGTTGTGTGTAAATACATGTTCTGGGGCGCCTGGGTAGCTCAGTCGGTTAAGCGGCTGCCTTCGGCTCAGGTCATGATCCTGAGGTCCTGGGATCGAGCCCCGTGTTGGGCTCCCTGCTCAGCGGAGAGCCTACCTCTGCCTGCCTCTCTGCCTACTTGTGCTCTCTCTCTCTCTGTCAAATAAATAAATACAATCTTTAAAAAAACAAATAAATAAAATACATGTTCTACCTATATGTAAGCCCTTATTAGGAGGGGTTAAAAGGAATTTTGCAGAATTTTATACACCCTGAATTGTATAATAATAATAGTTGCCACTTATATGAATTTTCTGTTTGCCAGATGTTGCTAAATTCCTTACGTACATTATTATATTTAAGTTTCACAAAAATCCTAGACAGCCTCTACTTTTTACACATAATATACTCCTTAAAACATGTACAAAAGTCTAATGCAGGGGGGTGGGGGGGCGGCGCCTGGGTGGTTCAGTTGGTTAAGTGTCTGCCTTTGGCTCAGGTCATGGTCCTGGGGTCCTGGGGTCCTGGGATTGAGTCCTATGTGGGGCTCACTGCTCAGCGGGGAGTCTGCTTCTCCCTCTGCCCCTCCCCCTGCTCTTGCTCTCTCTCAAATAAATAAATAAAATCTTTTTTTAAAAAAGTCTAATGTGTGGGACGCCTGAGTGGCTCAGTCGGTTAAGCGTCTGCCTTCGGCTCAGGTCATGATCCCAGGGTCCTGGGATTGAGTCCCACATCGGGCTCCTTGCTCAGCAAGGAGCCTGCTTCTCCCTCTGCCTGCCTCTGTCTCTCTCTCTCTCTCTGATAAATAAATAAAATCTTAAAAAAAAAAAAAAAGTCTAATGTGGGACTCCATATCCAGAGAGCTAAAAAATAATTACAATAATCTAGATTACATTTCAGCTTTTAGAAATAGACTGTAATGAATATTTCCAGCATTTTATATGTGTCTTTCAACATATTCTCTTACACAGTGCAGATAACTTCAGTCTAGTCCGGTGACTAGACAAACGATGATACCTGTATTTATTGTTGTTTCATTTGTATTAAATTTGTTAGTCTTTATTGCTAGTAGTAGAATTGTAATTCTTCCCTTTTGATAAAGACAAAGGTCAATAAAATACTTACTGAATTGACATTTTCTACAATAAAGTTTATGCCTAAACTACTTCTGTCTAGCAGACTATATATAGCATAGTGTTAGCTCCAAGTATTCTCTCAGCTAATGGAAAATTTTTAATTTTGAATTAAAGGGCAGTTTGGGTGACAGTACATATTATACAGGTGTTTCTGCTGTAATGACATATACACGTTCCTGGAAATCCTGACATTCTGCAGGACAATACACTAAAATAGCAGGGTTTATGAAGAAAAAATACACACCACTCAAAACAAGACATGTGGGGGCGCCTGGGTGGCTCAGTCGTTAAGCGTCTGCCTTCGGCTCAGGTCATGATCCCAGGTCCTGGGATCGAGCCCCGCATCGGGCTCCCTGCTCCGCGGGAAGCCTGCTTCTCCCTCTCCCACTCCCCCTGCTTGTGTTCCCTCTCTCGCTGTGTCTCTCTCTGTCAAATAAATAAATAAAATCTTTAAAAAAAAAACAAAACAAGACATGTGGAAGTCTCCAGCTTTTTCATCTGCATTAACAGCTTTCCACATTGCTTGATGTCGTGAAAAATGCAGGGATACTTGAAGCCACTAACCCTCAGCTTCTTAAACCAAAGGAACTACTGGGGAATTTTCAAGTTTTGTCATTAAGGTCTTTACATATGGCTGAGGCCTTTGTAATTGTAGAAAGACCACTTCTGATCACTCCAAACCTTTAACATGCTGGGAAAAAACTGCATAGGATATAACATCTTTCCCCTATTCACCAATTGCACATAAGCTAATTCACATTAAACTTTTTTCATAGACGAGACAGCTCTTGAACCATCTGTGTTATTTACGAGATGAGGAAACAGACTCAGGAAGGTGAAATAACTTGCCCAAGGTCACACAGGTAGTGCCAGAATCAACATTTGAATACAGATTTCAGACAGGGCAACCTCCCTTTCCTAACCATTGTGCAGACTGCCTTCTCTGACCGAGTCATGTTAACTTAAAAGCACTTTTGCCTTGCATTGGCTTAGATCAGCGCAATCCAATAGAAGTATAATATGAACCACAGATGTAATTTTACATTTTCTAGTAAACTGCAAAAGACAAAATCAAATTTTGTTTTACTTTTTAAAAAGCAAAAAGAAACTAAGATTAATTTTAATAAATTATTTCAACTTCTAATCGATATAGAAAAGTATTAATGAGATACTTTGCCATTCTCTCTTTGTACCAAATCTTTAAAATCCAGTGCATACTTTACACTTAAAATACGTCTCAATTCGGAGTAGTCACGTGTGGTATAGTGGCTACCATACATGCTAATTCTTTTTACTCTAGTGCATGTGAACCTTTTTTTTTTTTTTAACTTTTTTTAAAAGATTTTATTTATTTGAGAGAGAGAGAGAGGGACAAACTGACTCAGTGCTGAGCCCAGACCCTGGTGCTGAGCTTGATTCCAGGACCCTGAGATCATGCCTTGAGCCTAAACCAAGAGTCAGACACTTTACCCACTGAGCCACCCAGGTACCCCCCATGTGAACCTTTTTAGGAAATCGCCTACTTACTACAAAAGCAGACAGAAAACACCTAACTCTTAACCTGTAATAGCCTTTTTCTTTTTTAGGTTCTCTCTAAATCTAGAAACCATGATTTAATGTTCAGACTTGTATTTAGGAACATTTTATTTTCATTGGGAGAATCCATTGTCCCATTTCTAAGTATTAATGTCCTTTATTAGTCATTGCTCAGTAGTAATTTTACCCTATGATTACAAAGTGGACAGTGAATGTATAATTTTTCTGTACAACTGAAAACCAGTACTTTAAGTACAGAAGCTTGCTTATTTAAATTCAAGTTACTTAAATTCAAAAAACTTTTTTTGCTTTATTTTTGACAGAAACGCTTCTAAAACATGCTACATAAAGTCTCTGCACAAAAAAAATTCTCTGCACAACATATCTTGTGCTCCATGTTTGAAAATCATTAAGGATTTTTTATAATTTTTGCAATTTTGCTGTTATTCTTTGGAGACTAATTCTGAGCTAACTCTGAAGTTATAAAGCTACTTTATATGGTAAATGAGCTGCTTTTCCTAGCAAATCTTATTCATAAATGTTTAGATATATATTTAGTGTAACTTGGCTGTCTGCCTCGAAAACTCTTTATGAATCAAATTTGAAGCAACTAGTCTTTCCTAAATTCATTTCAAAATTTTTGTCTATAGTGTGTTTTAATTTTCAAACTTCAAAACATTTTTTTAAATCAGTTATCATAACAGTTTCTTTTCAGTGTTGTGTTTGTTTTGATGTCTTGCTTTTGAAAATGTGTAGTAGAGCATGTCGTTTGGATCACTTACCTTGTTCATCAGATGGAGACATTTTTATTTTATGACTTTCTAAGATATTGCTGCAAAAGACAAAACAGGTTGCACTGTTGTACGTCAAGGTGCTTTGCATTTTTCAGTTATTCTGGCTTTTTAAGGGTGCTTTTAGGATCATTTTATGCTGAATAGTGGATGTTGGTTAGAGCGTGGCTGCGTATTTCATCTGTTTCCCATCTGTATTCTTGGATGATCATATGCCTCTCAAGTATTATTCCTCATTTCTTATCCACAGTTTTAGCTCATTTATTAGTATCTTTGCAGTTAAATGGCATAAATTTTCTTAATAATATAAAAAATGAGGGGCACCTGGCTGGCTCAGTCAGAAGTGTGTGTGACTCTTGATCTTGGGGTTGTAAATGCGAGCCCCACGTTGGGTGTGGAGAGTACTAAAAAAAATAAACTTTAAAAAAATAACATAAAAAATGAAATTTCATTATGTGTGAGCGTGGCAAGCTGTTTCTTCTTGAGCTAAATTGGGACTATAGTCTAGGACTGTCTTTGGACAGCTATCCCAGGGGATTGGGTCCTGTCTTAAATACCAAGTGAACAACACCCTTTCCTACTATATACATTTTCTTCATTTAATTTGAATGCTAAAAGCATTGACTTAAAAAAAAATTTTAAGAATGTATGTCACATGTTCATTGTAAATAAACTAGGAAATTAAAAAATTAAAGCACTTAATATCCTACTACCTAGAGATAGCCAGTTAGAGATTGCATATGTATATCCTTCTGGTCTTTTCTTTGCAAGCTTTGAGCCTTGTATCTGTGCTGTCTTAACTAAGATTAGATTATTCTGGTTATTTCTTGAAGAAATTTGGTGAGAATTCAGTCCATCACAGATTACAATGAACCTTTATTTAGATAGTCCAAATGGTTTTATTTCCTCATTGCATCTCCATTTGATCTCCACTCTTCAAAATGATAGCAGTATTTCCTGTATCTGTGTGTTTGTCTCAGATAAATTATAAAGGTAAATGGTTAAATAAAATCACCTTTTTAAATATTTAAATAAATACCTCTAAACACATTATGCATTCCAGAGACTCTTGCCACACCAGTCAGCCGGAAAATAAAGTATCCATTGTTTGAATATCTTGATTTGTCTTTAAAATACGTATTTCTATCATTGTGTTAATGGCAGTTATGCTTCATTATATTATCTTGGCTTGGGTATATTAACTATATCATGAAAATATTTTTTTTTGAAGGTGGAGAGGGGGGAATGGATAGAGGGAGAGGGAAAGAGAGAAGCAGGCTCCACGCCCAGCAGGGAGCCCAACACGGGGCTGGATCTTAAGACCCTGAGATCATGACCTGAGCTGAAATCAAGAGTCGGACACTTAACCAACTGAGCCACCCAGGCGACTCTCATGAGAATATTTTTTTAAGCATATTTAATGCTCAAGCTTTGACGGAATATGATTTTAGACATCTGGTGGTTTGTTTTGAGAGAGTATGCTGCTGAACAGATCTCTAGAAGAGTGGAATAATGGAGAGTGAGAAAGCTTAAGAGCTTGATAATAGGCGGGAAAATAATTTTTTACCTGTGATTATTTGAATTATTTGGCATTTCAAGATTTATTTAGGGACTACTTTTAGGATTTTTTTTCTCATAGGATTTTTTTTAAAATCACTTTGTCAGTTGACATGGATACCATACTATAGTTGAAGATCTTCCTAAAATCTAAATTATTGGAAAAGTTCATGTAATTAAAATCTTTTCCCCCATTTATCTGCTTAACTTTTTTAAAAAAATAAAACTTTTTTAGAGCAGTTTTAGGTTCAGAGCAAAGTATAGAGTTCCCATATACTCCCTGTTGCTGATACATACAGTCTTCCACACCCTGCATGGGACATTTGTTATAATTCATGAACCTACAGTGACACATCATTATCACCCAAAGTCCACAGTTTACATTAGGGTTCACTCTTGGTGGTGTATATTCCATGGACTTTGACAAAAGTATAATGATATGTATCCACCATGGTAGTATCTCAGAGAGTAGTTTCATTGCTCTAAAAATCATCTGTGCTCCAGCTGTTCATCCCTCTCTCCGTGCAACCTGTGACAACCACTGAACTTTTTACTGTCTCCATAGTTTGCCTTTTCCAGAATATTTTGTAGTTGGAATCATATAGTATATAATCTTTGCAGATTGGCTTCTGTCACTTAGTAATTTGCATTTAAGTTTCCTCCATGTCTTTTTGTGGCTTGAAAGCTCATTTCTTTATCTTTTTAAAACTTTTTAAAAATTTATATTGCATTTATTTAAACTAAAAAAGGACAGTTCACTCATTTCTTCCCCTTAACCCCCACCCTCCTTTTGCATCCACCAGTCTGTTTTCTGTATCTATGAGCTTGGTGGGTTTTTTAATTTTGTTTTTGTTTGTTTTTTAGATCGCACATAAAAGATCATGTAGTATTTGTCTTCCTTTGTCTGACTTATTTCACTTAGCATATTGTCCCTGAGATCCATCTATGTTGTTGCAAATGGCAAGATTTCATTCTTTTTTATGGCTGAATAATATTCGATTGTGTGTGTGATATATATACACATACCACATCTTCCTTATCCATTCATTCATCAGTGGACACTTAGGTTGTGTCTGTATCTGGGCTATTGTGAATAATGCTGCAAGAACATGGGGATGCATGTATCTTTTCGAATTAGTGGTTTTGTTTTCTTTGGATAAATACCCAGAAGGAATTGTTGGTAGTTCATTCTTTAATTTTTTTGAGGAACCTCCATACTGTTTTCCATAGTAGTCACACCAACTTACAGTCCCACAACACTGCACAAGGGTTTCCTTTTCTCCACATCCTCACCAACCCTTGTTATTTCTTTTGTCTTTTTGATAATAAGCATTCTAAAGAGTGTGAAGTGATATCTCATTGTAGTTTTCATTTGCATTTCCCTGATAATTAGTGAGGCTGACCATCTTTTCATATGTCTGTTGGCCATTCTGTGTGTTTTCTTCAGAAAAATGTCCATTCAGATCTTCTGCCCATTTTTTAATCAGATTGTTTGTTTGCTATTGAGTTGAATTCTTTATATATTTTGGATATTGGCTCCTTATCGGATATATGATTTGCAGTTATTTTCTCCCATTCGGTAGGTTGCCTTTTCATTTTGTTGATGGTTTCCTTTGCTGTGCAAAACCTTTTGAGTTTGATGTAGTCCTAATTGTTTATTTTTGCTTTAGTTACTTTTGCTTTGGGTATCAGATTCAAAAAAAAAATCACTGCCAAGAGCTATTTTAAAGAGCTGGCCACATTTTGTTTTCTTCTAGGAGTTTTATGTTTTTAGGTCTTATGTTGAAGTCTTTAATCCATTTTGAATTAATTTTTGTGTCTGGTGTAAGACAAGAGATCCAGTTTACTTCTTTTGTATATGGCTGTCCAATTTTCCCAGCATTATTTCTTAAAGAGACTGTCCTTTCCCCATGGTATATTCTTGACTCCTCTGTCATAAATTAATTAACCATAATATGCATAGATTTATTTTGGGGCTCTGTATTCTGTCCCATTAATCTAAATGTCTGTTTTTATGCCAGTATCATACTGTTTTAATTACTGTAGCTTTTGAAGCTTCTTCCATGTCTTTTCATGGCTTGATGGCGCTTTTGTTTTTAGCACTGAATAATAATCCATTGTTTAGATATACCACAGTTTATTAATCCATTCACCTACTGAAGAACATCTTGGTTGCTCCCAAGTTTTGGCAATTATGAATAAAACTTCTGTAAACATCTGTGTGGGGACGTCTGTGTGGCTCAGTTGGTTAAGCCTTTGGCTCAGGTCATGATCCCCAGGGTCCTGGGATCGAATCCCACATTGGGCTCCTTGCTCAACAGGGAGCTTGCTTCTTGCTCTGCCTGCCACTCCCCCTGCTTGTGCACCCCCTCCCAGACAAATAAATAAATAAAATCTTTTTTAAAATTAAAAAAAAGAAACATCTGTGTGCAGGTTTCTTTTTATTTATTTATCTATTTTTTTTTTAATTTTATTTATTTGAGAGAGAGAGTGAGAAAGAGAGAACACAAGAAGGGGAGAGGGTCAGAGGGAGAAGCAGACTCCTCGCTGAGCGGGGAGCCCGATGCGGGACTTGATCCCGGTACCCCGGGATCGTGACCTGAGCCGAAGGCAGTCGCTTAACCGACTGAGCCACTCAGGCACCCTGTGTGCAGGTTTCTATATAAACATAGTTTTCAGTTCCTTTGGGTAAGTACCAAGGAGTGTGATTGCTGGATCATATGGTAGAAGTAATTTTAGTTTTGTAAGGAACTGTCATACTGTCCTTCAAAGTGGCTGTGCCATTTTGCATTCCCACCAGCAGCGAATAAGAGTTCCTGTTGTGTTCTCATCAGCATTTGGTGGTGTCAATGTTCTGGATTTTGGCCATTCTAATAGATGTATAGTAGTATTTCATTGTTGTTTTAATTTGTAATTCGCTAATTATATGTCATGTTGAACATCTTTTCATATGATTATTTGCTGTCTGTATATCTTATTTTATGAGGTATCTATTCCGGTCTTTGGTCCATTTTTTTTTTCTTTGTTCAAAAACTTTATTTACTATAAAGACAAAACACCAAAATAGATACAAATACTATGAAATTTGTTCAGTTGGGTAAAATTTTTAATTAAAATATCTCGATATATTTAAAATAACAAAGGACACATTTAATTTGCCCTTTCTTTAATCAGGTTGTTCATTTTCTTCTTGTTGAGTTTAAGGATTTTTTTGTGTATATTTTGGATAACAGTCCTTTTTCAGATATGTGTATCTTTTGTAAATATTTGTTCCCAGTGTGTGGTTTGTCTTCTCATTGTCTTTTGCAGAGCACAAGTTTTTAATTTTAATGAAGTTCACTTTATCAGTTTTTTTTTTCATGGATCATGCCTTTGGTGTTGTATCTAAAAAGTCATCAACATACCCAAAGTCATCTAGGTTTTTTCCCAATGTTATCTTCTAGGAGTTTTATAGTTTTGTGATTTACATTTAAGTCTGTGATCCATTTTGAGTTAATTTTTGTGAAGGGTGTAAAATAATTTATTTGCATGTCAATGTCCAGTTGTTTTAGCACCATTTGTTGAAAAGACTATCTTTGCTCTAAAGATCAGTTGACTATACTTATGTGCATCTATTTCTGGGCTCTCTATTCTGTTCCATTGATCTGTTTGTCTGTTCTTTTACCAATACCACACTGTCTTGATTGCTATAGCTTTATAGTAAGTCTTGAAGTCAGGTAGTGTCATTCTTCCAACTTTGTTCTTCTTCAATATTGAGTTGGCTATTCTGAGTCTTTTACCTGAGTTAGTATCTATAAAATAACTTACTGGAGTTTTGAATGGGATTGCTCAGAATCTATAGATTCAATCTGTTGTCCTATAGATTAAATTGGAAAGTACTGACATCTTGACAATATTGAGTCTTCGGATATCTCTCTATTTAATTCTTCTTTGATTTCATTCATCATTTTTGTAGTTTTACTCATTTAGATCTTGTACATATTTTGTTAGATTTATAGGTAAGCATTTCATTTTGGGGGGTGTTAATATAAATGGAAATGTCTTAATTTCAAATTCCACTTGTTCATCACTTGTATCTGCTTAACTTTTTAAGTGATTAATGGATGCCTGGGAGTTGATGTACATATATATTCAGAAATGTTTTGCCACCTGAGACCTGTGAGAAGGTAAGCTTTGTGGTCCATTATGTAATTAGTATGGGGGGGGATTCTGTTATGTATTTGGCTAATTTTAATTGTTATTTTTCAAATTCTAAAATTATATTATGGTGGTGGAGGGCAGGAACAAAAAGAGAAAAAGAAAATTCATATGAACATCCAGGTCCTCCAAGAGTTCATTCAGGGCAAAAGATGAAAAAAATACCATCTTTCAGAATAGTTCACTGTTAAAAGTTTAAGAGGAGAAAAGATAAAGTTTGTCCTTAGCACAGTTTTTGTCATGTTGCCCTCAAGTCTATTGCTATCATGTGGAAAACCACTTTACATTTAAATTGTATAGTAAGATCATTTGACTACTGTATTTGCTATTCATGATATATAATCTAAATCCTACTTCAAGAAAGGATTTAAGGAGTTCAACTATACAAATTTAATTGACATTTTATAATGGGCATATATAGGATAATTGAAAGAGATCAGAAGCCCTGTAGAGAAAAAGATTATTGTGTTAAAAAGCAGAACTGATTAAACAATTACTCAAATGTCACATTTAGTCCTGGTTTCTTGGTAACCAAGCTAAAAAAGGGAAAAATCGTGTGCATTTGGCTCCAAATAAAATACAAGTTGACCTGTTAAGTAAAAATGATATGTGGAGTGTTAGGTTTCTAAAATATTTGCCAAATATAAAATATTTGGCAAATAATTAGTACTTTTAAATAACTATCCTGTTCCAGTAAATAGTCACTGTCAAAAGGGAGTTAATTAGGGGAAACAGACTTTTTCCACCAACTTGTTTATGACAAGAGTTCTCAAAGAAAGGGAGACTTACTCTGATTGAATTTATGACACAGTTCTTAGGACACGGAGGGACGAGGAGGAGAGGCAGGAAACAAAGAAACTGAGATACAGTGTGCCCGGAAAAATTGTTCTTCTGCAGATGTGTAGACCTTCTTCATGTTGTGGTATTTTGATAATGTTCAACCACAGAAAACCAGGCTGACGTGTTTTCATACTCTAATACAAGGAGAGATCAAAGGAGCCTGGAGGAATTCTCACCTCCTCACGTGTGCCATTGACAGACAGTGAATAGTAGTGGTTGCATAATAGAGCCACGCTTTTCCAGCTTGTTTTATTCCAGCCTTCAGAAAACTATTTTAATCATAATGCATAAAATACAAGTTTCATAACCGTAGTTAACCCTTGCCACACACAGTATCCAGTGATATTTTCTGTTGCGTGTCTTCTCTTTTTTAATGTTGGTCATGGCTCCGTAAGTTTATTTTACAGCACTATGGGTCATGAAAAGCACTGCTTTAGAGTAATTGCAGTGCAAATTCTTAGTTGTTAATTAGAAATCAAGTCATATGCTTTAAGTACGAAATAGATAGCAGTAGTGACATTCTGTTACTTCAATCTGTAAATTCCCTAATCTCCTAAAGTGTTAATGGCTCTCCATTTGTAACTCAAGGCAATGTTGCTCTTTTCAGTAGGATAACTTTCTTTTTTGGAAAAATCCAAGTGATTTGACAGATTTCTTGCTTTACATAGTCTGTGTTCTACAAAAATTAGAAGTAGATTGTACGTGTATTTTTAAATTACTTGAGGTCCTTATATTTAAATCCTCTAGTGCAGAGGTCAGCAAAGTATAGTCCATGGGTCAGATGGGCCCACTGCCTTTTTATGTAAGTAAAGTTCTATTTGACCACAGCCACACTCGTTCATGTGCTTTATTGTGGCTGCTTTCCCCTTATAGCCACAAGGTAGAGTAGTTGTAACACAGATCATGGGGCCCACAAAGCCTAAAATGTTTACCATATGACCCTTTTTCAAAAAAGTTTACTGACCCCTCTTCTAGTGATTTGTCTTTCAAAAATCTAATCCTTTCCTAATGTCTTATAAATCCAGATTTTCATGTGCTCAATTTGCTCAATTTCAAGCAACATAATATTGCTTTTGATTTAATTTTCCTTGATTCTGTTAAGTTTCCTTTCATTAAATACCTACTAGACATTCATTTAACATACATTAACAATAATACTTGTGCCAGACCCTATGCTGTGGCAGCCATCAGATATCCGCTGAGCTCTCCTATCTCCCTGGTCATGGATATGCCTCAAAGCCACACTTTCCTGGCTGTCAGTGCCCAAGCAGAGCAGGAATACAAAGTCAGGTTTATTCCAACAAGACACAGGACTCTGCCAGTGGGTGCCTTTGGTCCAACTCCTCATTGGCCTGGCTGAGCCCTTCTTGGAACTTGGACTACAGTCCAAGACTTCCTACCCAGTCCTCCTGCCTCTCCTCTGTCCTGCAGGTGTCAGACCTACATCAGGATCTGAAAGCTCTCCCCACCTTCTCCTCCCTTTCCCAGTTCTCTCGCACATCTAAACGTGTCTTGACCTCTGCTTTTCAGCACATGCCAACTAACATAGCCAACCACAGCAAGTATATGTAAAACATGTTTACTGCCTTCAAGGGTGCATGGTAGCTGAGGAGGATGGGGTGGGTGGAGGAAGAGAGGAACAAATGGAAACATCATTTACACATTATGGTATTGTGCTGCAAATATGCTGAGTAAGCAGTTTCTGTTTTTAGCGTTTAGAAGAGGGAAAGACTATACTGAGGATACAAAAGAGAAGATTCTGGGGGAAATGGGCACCTTGTCTCCTGGCATGTATTACTTAGTAACTGTTCAGTGAATGAGCACAGTTTGGATAGGTGGAACTGGGATACAGGGAGCATGTTTAGGGCTTCGAAATCATTCAGAAATAAGAGGAATGAGAAAGGTTACTGAGGGTTGGCCCAAGGGCATCTAAAAGAGTGGTAGGAAGTCACTTCAGACAGATTGGAAATGATTACAGAGGATTTGAAACACCAGACTAAGAAGTGGATTTTATTCGCAGGAGTTGAAACACGAGCAAAGTGTTACAATAGGGAATACAGTCATAGTGGGATTTTGGGAAAATTAACCTGTATATAAAATGGTAGGGAAAAGACACTAGAGCATAGACAGATTGTGAGGCTATGCAGTTCTATTTTTTGGTGATAATGGGTGGCAGAGAAAATGGAAAGAAGGAACGGTTTCTGGGATATTATAAAGTGAGAAGAAACAACCAACTTCCAGACCACCCAAAATTGGGCAGGGTACTGTCTGCAGATTTGTACTCTGGCAACACTGAGAAAAGTGGTACCACGGTGACAGGAATAAGGAAGATAATCCTGGGTTGAACTGCTTCCTTGCTTTCTGTATCCAGGCTGAGACTAGAAGGAAAACAGTGACCTCTACTCCTTTTTTTAGACACACAAAATTTGAGAGGCTGGAAGGATAGCTGAAGTGTCTGTCAGACACTTGGAAATGAGAAATGAAGCTCAAATGGGGGGAATCAGTGGACCTGCCACTGTTTGCTTACACGGCCTCATATTGAGGACGTCAGGACCTGGCTTACTGCTTACTTTATTGTTCGGACTCCTCGTTGTAGTCCTTCATGCACAACCTTGAATATTGACTTTGTAAAAGGTTCAAGTACGTGCAAAAAAAAAAAGGTAATCTGAAAATATGTTGGTGGTGGTCTCCAGATTGCTAAAAATCTCCGTAAATGATCCTGTAATCTCTGTCATTTTAAAAATATAAAACCCTTCCATAGACTCAATAATGTATGAGAGACATAGTACTCAATATTGTATGAGCTAATTTTGAGACAAAAAGGTGCCTAATAGTTAGACTTCTTTATAGACTATTGTAGAATGGAGGTAAAATTATAACGTTCCAAAAATTGATGTCATGAAAGTGCTTCCCAAAAATTGCAAATAATTCCATTTGGATTTAAAACTGTATGGTAAAAAAACAGTCTTAGGTGAGTTATGCCAAAATTTAAGAATAAGAATGTCAAGTTATCCAACGAGGATAATTTTAGCGTGCCAGCCATGAGGAAGTAAACTAAGAGGCATCTTCTTATTTTAAGCGTTGTACTCAAAATATTTTTCACTATAAAGAAAAGATTACACTATGGATATTGAGGGTTTTTTATCTGAAGAAAAAAATGACACAGGAAATTGTCACCATCTGCAGTAAAGCCAGTTAACATTTCAAAGTAGGCTTTGAGGGGAAATGTTATTATTATTAATTAATATTATTTTCTCATATTGCATCAGAGGAATTTATAACCACTGTTTTTAGAAACAATGTGGCACTTTCTGTTAAAAGTCAATATATATCTTATTTATTTGTTAAATTCTTTTTAATTGAACTATAATTGATGTACAATGTCCTGTTAGTTTCAGGTGTATATCATAATGATTCAGTATTTTTATACATTATTAAATGATCCCCATGATAAGTTTAGTTACCATCTGTCACCATACAAAGTTATTACAATATTATGGACTGTATTCCCTATACTATACATTACATCCCCACAACTTATTTATTTCATAATTGGACATTGCTTGTTAAAACTTTTATAGATTTCAGAAAACCACAGTTTTGATTTCTGTCTTGTTTCTGTGGTATTTTCCAAGCATAATAATTTTAATGTTACTATATTGTCACTTTATGCATTGGGGATCTGTGTGTGTGTGTGTGTGTCAGTGACCTTGGTGAATAATAAATCCACATCTTTTTAAAAGGTCATGTCTAGAGAAGATATTTCCACACTGGTTTCTCTCCTCAAGAGCTTTATCAGGAGCTGAAGCAGTCAATGCCTTGAGGCCATTCTATTTTGCAGTACATCCAGATTTCTTTGGACAGCACCCCAGAGAAAGGGTAAACTTTTGTTTATTTAACCTTTAGTCCGCATTTCATAAACTGAAGTTTTACTAATTTTCGACACAATATAATACAAAGTTCTATAAATTTGGATTGTTCTGTCATAGTGATAAAGTCAATGTTCTGAATTGCTTTGAAATACACATACTGAAAATTGAAAATCTAATTATTGTTGTCTTACGAAATCTGAGGGAGTGGAAAATGCATACATTGGGCTCTGCCCCCAGTTTCTGGCATAGACCTCCTGACACCCTTGTAACTTCCTAAGTGAGAAGAGCCCTAGAAGCATCTCTTGTTCTGTTCTTTGGTCTTTGACCCCATCCCTGACACCTGACTCCTAAAACCCTTGTAAATCCCTAAATGGTAGCAGCACCAGGAGCATCTTTTGTTCCAATGTGGTGACTCTGGGTGGCTCCTACATGGGAGCTGGTCACCAGAAAGACCAAGGCATGATTAGAAGCTTGGAGTTTTCAGCCCCAACCCTCAACCTCCAGAGAGGAGGAAAGGGCTGGAAATAGAGTTAATAATTGATCATGCCTACATGAGGAAGCCTCCGTAAAACTCTAGGAGTATGGGGTTCAGACAGCTTCAGGTGGGCAGACACATCTACACTGGAGGGTAGTGCTCCCAAACTCCATGGGGACAAAAGCTCCTGCACTTGGGACCCTGTGTCTCTCTTCAGCTGGCTGTTTATCTGCATCCTTTATTATATCCTTTAATATGGTAAACATAAGTAAGTTTTTCCCTGAGTTCTGTGAGCTGCTGTAGCAAATTAATAGAATCTAAGGAGGGGGTTGCTGCAAATCGCTGGTTGGTCAAAAGTGCAGGTGATAACAGGTGTGACTGGCATCTGAAGTGTGTATATGGGGGTGGGGTGGCAGAGGGAGAGGACAGTCTTGGGGAACTGAGCCCTTAACCTGTGGGATCTGATGCTGTCTCTGGATACATAATGTCAGAATTGAGTTAAATAGTAGGACACCCAGCTGGTGTTACAGAGAATCGCTTATTGTGGGGGAAAACCTCCACTCATTTGGTGACCAGAAGTGTCAGAAGTCAAGTGTTTTGTGTGAATATGCAGGAGGCACACAGGAGATAGACTGGGCTTTTCCTCTGTATGAAATCTGTCATTTTTTATGAAGGCAATAAAGCTGTCGTGGAGACTCTTTAAAGTATTAGTAGTAATGTTTTCTGAACCAGTTTTTAGAGTAAAATTGAGTGTTTGAAAGAAAATTTCTGGCTTCTGCACCACGGTCAATCTTTTTTTTTTAAGGATAATTACAAGGAAAGTTTTTAAGTGCCCTGAATGGTTTTCCCTTCTGTTGCATGCTGCTGGTTCACTTCCCTACAACCTCAGTTACTGTGTGCTCAAGGAATGCAGACAGAGATGAAGAGTAACTTACAGTAAACTTAGTGAGGACACTCAGTATTATTTCATTGGTTCTGTTTATCTTCTTTAACATTAATACCTGGTTTAACATGAAAAGGAATTTAGAACTCTCGAAAATTCAGAACATAATTATATAATTTTTTTCTACTTGCAGTGGAAAAAAATTAATTTTGCTTCTTTGCTCTAGGAAAATATTCTGATTGTGATTTTTGATATATATGTTGGCTATTAAAAGTCAGATCTTTTCTAAGTAATTAGTAAAATGAATCAACAGAAAAATATCCATTGCTCTGAGGATGTTAATTTTTTAAAGTTTTTAAACCCAACATGTATGGAAAAATTATGCCTAGTAGTAGATGAATGTTTTCCCTCCTCTACCAATGTATCTTTTTTTTTTTTTTAATTAAAACTTCTGTGTGCTCTAAAAAGTGAACTCAGCAGGCATGGGTTACTTAAACTCTACATTCCAGAGAAGTGCCTGACTTTGGTATTGGCCCTTGACTGCCTCCTGGGAGATAAGCTCTGAGCCCTTAGAATATCCTGCCTGATGGGAATCTTTTATATATGTGAGGTCTCAGGCCATGCCAGATATTTTACGCTATGTGATTTTTGGTGAATGCCTGTATTCATATGTCTGAGGCCCTCTGGGTGTGCTGGAGACTATTTGAAGAGCTAAGGTCAGTCACTTGGGCGCTACATGCGTGCGTGAGCGAGCCCAGTAAAATGCTGGACACCAAGGCTTGGATGAGCTTCCTCAGTTGGCAACTCTTCTCATGCATTGTCACACAATGTTGCTGGGGTTAAGTGCTAGCCCTGCAAATCTACTGGGAGAGGACAACTGGAACCTTGCACCTGGCCTCTCCTGGACTCTATCCTACATGCCTTTTCTCTTTGCTGATTTTAATCTGTATCCTTTTGCTGTAATAAACCATAACCGTGAGTATAAGTTTTTCTGAGTTCTGTAAATCCCTCTATCAAATTGAACCCAAAAGTGGTCATGGAGAGCTCCAACACAATATGCCTGAAATGTAATTGTTCTAGTAAATTAATATAGCTGACCCTTGAACAGTGCCAGGGATGGGGCACTAACCCCCTGCACATTCGAAAATCTGTGTATAAGCTTTGACTTCCCCAAAACTTAACTACTGATAGCCTACTGTTGACCGGAAGCCTTACTTACCAATAATATAAATAGTTAACATATATTCTGCATGTTATATATATTATATTCTGTGTTTTTACAATAAAATAAGCTAGAGAATAGAAAATGTTATTAAGAAATCATAACGAAGAAAAAAGACATTTACAGTGCTGTATTTATAAAAAAGAAATCCACGTATAAGTGGGCCCATGAAATTCAAACCCATGTTGTTCAGAAGTCAGCTGTATTTTCATTTACTCTTTCAACTTGTGTTTGAGTGCCTACTCCATGCCAACCCAAAACTCCGTTCTGGGTTTTTATTGGGCGTCAGTCACATAGATATGGCTTGTCCTTTCCTTTCTTGTTTAAGTGTCACGTTTCATGAGGCTCTCACAGATTGCCCTATCTGAAACTGTCACCCTACCTTCCTTCCCAGCACTCTCTGTCCCCCATATCCTGCAGTACTGTTTCTCTTTCCCTCCCATATTAGACATACTGTCACCAAAGTGCAAGCTCTGCAAAGGCAGTTCACCCTTCCTGGCACCTCATGTTCAGTCCAGTCTTCTCTGCATTTGTATGGAACACCCTTCTCCCTTTTCTAAAGGAACAGACAGAAAGTGCTATCTAGTCAGCAACAGGCCAGGGTGTCAGAGTGAAGCACAGCTATTGTTGTTAATCCTCTTCATTTTAACTCAGTTTTAAAATACAGAAAACACTTCTAGGTTTCAGAAATCAAAACTAAATACAAAGTTTACTCAGAAGTCTCACTCCTGTCTCCATTTCTTTTACCCCATTGGTATAACTTCCTGTATATAACCATTTTTATTAGTTTCTGGGTTCTGTTTCTTTTTGGCAAAAGTAGAAACTTGTGGCAAAACAGAATTATGAAGATTTAGTCTTACACTAGAAGGAAATGTACCTCAGCTGCCCACTGAACTATGGTAGGTAAGAACAACATATTACAGTCAGTTAAACAGACAAAAATAAACTGATTGTTCCTAATTTCAGATCACACAGTGTGTCTGAGAAGAAACCTACAGTGATAGGAAACATGGTTACTATTTATGCCATTCTGTAGAGCTATTCCTTCACTAAAGGATGTTTCTTTTTTTCACTTAACAATCTTGGAAATAACTCCATGTCATTTCCTAGATATCTGCACCACATTCATTCTCTCTTTTCTTTTTGGTTATATAGTACTCCATTGAATGAATGTACCATAATTCAACCAGTCTCAGGATGGTCATTTTAAGAGCCCTTTATAGAGAGAAATAACTTGCAAACATTTTCTCCCAGTAGCTTATTTGTCTGTAAACTGCTTATTGTGTGTGTGTGTGTGTGTGTGTGTGGTTTTTTGTGTGCTTTTTTTTTTTTAGTTTTTAATTTTTTTACGTAAGTGGACTTACCAATCATGTATTGTCAATCATGTATTAGAGATATTTAGTTATAATTAGCTTTTTCCACACCAGAGTTATAAAGGAGTTCAACATGTTCTCTTCTAGTACTTACATAGTTACTTTTTTTCACATCTTAGCCATAAGGAGTTTGTTCTGTTACATGTTGTAAGAATGTGGATCCAATTTTATTCTTCATCAAAGAGCTATGGAATCCCAACTTTTTTAATACTAAATTATTTAGTGCCCTCAATAATATGTTTAAAGGTCAGGATAAAATTTCTGTTGTTTTCTTGTTCTATTTTGTGTGTAAATGCCTCTTGATGTGTTTTTTCCAGGAAGTCAATGAAAATTCTCTTAAGAGATTAAGTGTCTACTTAGAAAACCTCCAGAAACCAGGCTTCAAGTCTTTGAAACCGACTCAGCTTACATTTTATGTAAGAGAAACAGAGCAGAATTCCTCTGAAGGCCAGGAACCCTTTAGCACTTCCGGTATGTTTTCTTATTTCTAGTGTTTCCCTTACAAGCTGCGTGATAAATATGTTAGTCTGCCATTGCCAGAATACCTTTGGATTGAAGCCTTGGTCGTAAAAAATAATATCATTTAATTGATTATTTTCCTAGAATTAGATTCTATTCCTGGCTACCTGTGTTTGAACAAGCCATTTTTTTGTGTTTAAACTTTTTTGTCTGTGAAACTAAAATGTTCCTATTTGTTCATTTCCTATTTCATGTTTTAAGTGTTAACCATATATATAACAATTTACATTTTTTAAAAATACAGCCTATATCCCCCTATTTAGTCATCAAAGTACCCCATGAAGTAAGTAGTATATGCCCGATAAATTATGTGTAGGGATTTTGCCAGGACCAGAGATGGAATGTGGGTCTTGAACCCAGGCCTTTCAACTCCAGCTGTAGGCTCTTTTTAGTCAGTCTTAATAGATAGCCTTCTTTATGGCCCTTTGTTACTGCTGTAGCCCTGATCCAGAAATACTTAAAATTAAGGGCAGATACAGGTCTATCATTTCTCTAATTATCTAAATAAAGGGATCATCCTTTTGGCGATCCTTGAGGAAATAACTTTATTTTTAGAATGAACTTTAAAATAATTTAAAGGTTTACCAAGAGCTTTCTGTGAGTTAAGGTTAAAACAATTAGAAAATGCACTATAATTTTTTTTTTTTTTAAAGATTTTATTTATTTATTTGAGACAGAGAGAATGAGAAAGAGAGAGCACATGAGAGGGGGGAGGGTCAGAGGCAGAAGCAGGCTCCCCGCCGAGCAGGGAGCCCGATGCGGGACTCGATCCAGGGACTCCAGGATCATGACCTGAGCTGAAGGCAGTCGCTTAACCAACTGAGCCACCCAGGCGCCCTATAATTTTTTTTTTAAACAAACTGTTAGACAACTCAAAAGCTGATAGGTTTTCGGGACCTAGAATCTATTTCTAGCTCTGCCAGTGACTAGCTGTGTGAGCTCAACTTCTGGTTCTTCATAATTAAAATGAAAGAGGTTAAGTACTGTGTTTAAGTACTGAAGCACTCACGAAGACCCCTGCCTTATATCTCGGGCTCCCAGGGCTCTCAGGTGCTTGCATGGAGTGAGGAGGAGCTTGATCTAAAAAGTGCTGAAACAGGATCTTTATGTGGAAAACAGCTTCCCACCCAGTCTCTCCAGGAATGAGCATTTGATAATACATTTTCTCTTGTGTTTTCTTACTCTCTCATGTTTGAATGTGGGAGATCAGGAATCAGAAATTCTTTCCTTGACTGTTTCTCCATCTACCTCTGATTTGGGAGTTTTATTAAAAATAGACACTATTCTTCATTATCCAAAGACAAAAAGTCAACTCATACCCGTGTTGTGAAGGAACCGCTGTACTGAAGAATGCTTAAATGATAGTAGTAATAATAACAAGTAATTATGTTTATCACTCTAAGTGACACAATTCTATTTGAAATTGTGAATAATCATAAACGTGCTGTGTAAGACCAAATATTCATAAATACTCTTTAATAGATACATAGTCAAGATTAGGCTACAAATTGAAAAAGATCATATACTTAGGCATAGTGGTCTACTTAGATCTCATGATTTCTCCCTGACAGCTGGAATGTATGAAGGCAAATTACATCCTTTACATAAAACAAGAATATTGTCACTGTTCTATTTTTATTTGTCTATATTTGGGAGAGTCAGGCTCATTTCTGGTAGCTACAATTGCCACTTTCATGACCACCATCTACTGGGTTTGTCTTGAATGGTGACTACACGTGGAGTTAAAAGAATAAACCAGGTCTGTTTGTTAGGGAAGGAGCAAACAGGGAAACTCAGAAACTTAGGAAGTTTCACACAGCAAATTAGGGACAGATCTGGTAATAAAACTAATGTCTAATGTGACTTATATACTACATTATCTATTCCTCTTTAAAAATACTGTTAGTAATCATTTTTACCTTTGCCTTTATGACAGAAATTGGCACTCTGACAAGTATTTAAAACATTTTTATGTCTTTAACCTCTTTATCTGATTATAAAATTAAGATCATTGATAATTAAGGTGGTTGTAAGGTAAAATGTTTACTACTGATTTTCATTACTAAAATTAAAGGCTAAAATCACTTCTTCAGCTCTACATTTTTGGTGGCCTATGAGGAAATAAACTTCCTTAAAACAAGTAGAAGATTCACTAGGAGCTTTCTATGAGTTAATGCTAAAACAAGTAGCTGTAGGCAGCTGTGACTGAGTAATGGTTAATGGTAAACTTTGAGCCATTCATTAAACAAAAATGGATTATAGAAAAAAATAAAATGGGAAATAACATACAGCATATATGATAAAAAGATAATGTTAATGTATAAAGAACTCTTAGAAACCAAAAGGAAAACACAAAGTAGCTCCATTACAAAAATGGGCAAAGACAATGGCTAGACAGTTCAGGAAACTACCAATAGCCAACAAACATTAAAATGTTTAGTTTCAGTAGTCAAATCCAAACTAAACTAATTAGGTACTGTTTTCCAATAAAGCACATATGCATGCCTTAGCCCTTACATTTGATTAAATAATTAATGGGATTGATAAGATAGAAACAGATTTATTCTTGACTGAGCTCTTCCTAACCTCAAACACAGGAATTAAGATTTTCCTTCTTTCACTAACTAGAACAACTCTCTTGCCAGTATTTCTCACTTTATCATCAAATGATTCAAATAATTCAACTAAGAAAACTTTCTTAGTTTGCATGTTCTAGATTCCTTAACTCTGTGTGGCAAGCAGAGTATGTATATCTTGAGAATTATTTAAATTGTGGTATCCGTCATCAGTGGCAAAGACAAGAAAATACATTTCAGCCTTATATGAAAAGTGAAAAATTAAAAACTTTTATGTCCGTCAGTTTCAGAAATGTCAAATAAATTATGCTTCTTTACCTTCATTATATGGACTGGTATATATAACCGCTATAAAGAGTGAGTTGATCCATACATACAGACATGGAAGAGTCCCCAAGTTTAAGTAACAAAATCAAGTTCAAAGTAATATGTCTAGAACGATACTATTTATATATTAAAAGGAAACAATTCAAACTGTAGGTGTGTATTTGTGTAAATAAATAGGGGTATATATCATATGTAATGTACATACATAAGCCCATAGAAAAGGTCTAGAGCAGTCCTGTCCAAGAGAACTTTCTGCGATGATATAAATGTTCTGCATTTGCACTAATAGAGCAGGCACAAGCCCCGTGTGACTGTTGAGCACTTGAAATGTTGTTTGCATGACCAGAAACTGAATTTTAATTTTGTTTAATTTTAATTAATTTAATTCTAAACCACCACATAGGGCTAGTAGCTACCATAGGAGATAGGGCAGGTCTAAAAGCGTAGATACCTAACTGTTAATAGTGGTTATGTCTAGTAAAGGTGTGAGGTTATATGCCTGTTAACAGGAGACTTTTATTTTTACTGTATGTATCTCTCATTTCATAGTGAGAATGTACTTATATAATAATGTTATAATTTTCAAAACCAATTAAAAATACTTTTTTAGGGGCGCCTGGGTGGCTCAGACGTTAGGTGTCTGCCTTCGGCTCAGGTCATGATCTCAGGGTCCTGGGATCGAGCCCCGCATTGGGCTCCCTGCTCCGCGGGAAGCCTGCTTCTCCCTCTCCCACTCCCCCTGCTTGTGTTCCCTCTCTCGCTATCTCTCTCTGTCAAATAAATAAATAAAATCTTTTAAAAAAAAAAATACTTTTTTAAAAAATGAAGAAAGAATCAGCATTCTGTAATGGATAAAGTACTGGGCTTGGAGTCAACTCAGATTTAAGCCCTTGCTCTGCATTCTTCCTGACCTCCTTGAGCCAGATTTCTTCACATTTGCAGAGAGATAATAATCACACGGTTGGTGGGGTGTTGAGAAGTTACATAAATTCAGCTAGAACCATGCCTAACACCCAGCAATGAAGAGGAAAAAAGAAAACAGTAGATTTCCTGTTGAGGATGTAACAAGTTAGATTACTAACGTTAGCCCACTGACTACCCCAAATCAAAATCAGATGGTGAAGCACTAACTTTTAAACAATTAGGGAATTTCACATCCCTTCCAAAAATATTGAGTTACTAGGTAGTTGGGCGGACAAGTGTGAAGACAATCTCCTGTAATCACAGAAAACATTAGAGATGGGTTTGTGTCGCCCCTGAGACTAGACTGTCCGGCTGCTCCCGTCTGAACCACTGTCACAGTACAACCTCCCTGTGCCTCCTCTGCCCCTTTGAGTGCTAGAAACCGTCTTTCATGGACACTTGCTCAGAGGAGAGCTTTTCCATCTCTCAGACTGTCAAGACCAAATTTATGGGCAGCATTGGAAATATTCTGAATCCCCTCCTTGGGCTGGAATGGGTTTGGTCTCTGGTGCCAAACTAGACAGGGAACTGACCGAGGAAATCACGAAGGTAAAGATACTGTGGTATAGTTTTGGAGAAGGGAAGTAGTTCTCTGTTTACAGATTATTTGCCAGTAGGATAGATTTTAATCTGTAATCAAATGTTTTTAAAAGATTTTTATTTTATGTTGCATGAAAAAGTGTTTTTAAATAAAGCGAATAATCATCTGTATTAATTGGGGGAATTATATTCTCTAGGATTTCGAGCAGTCAAATTTACTTTGCACACCAGAGATCTCCTAAGCACAGTATTATATATTCTCAACTCCTGCAGTTTATCTATTGAACATATCCAAAGCTTGAATACTAATGTGCATTCCCAGCCTCTCAAGGAGGCTAAAAGGATGTCTGACAGGCCCATCAAGTGGGACAAATCTTATTACTACTTTACTGGATTCAAGGACCCTCATGAAGACCTCGAACAAGTCTCGAGAATGGAAACAACGTTAACGTATGTAAAAGTTCTTATTTAACTAAACTTATTTGTAGTTCATATTTAAAATGAAAGTCTAATCTTCCAGGAGAATTCTATCAATATAGTTAATCCAGTAACCATTATGAAAAAGATATTTCATGTTTCTTAAAGTTGCCAGAATACTTCCAACTGTATTTAATGTGTAGTCTTTTGATACCAAAATGCATGCAGGACATTGTTATAAGTTTTAAAAATTCTGCTCCTCAAGTTACCCCTAGTAAATGGAGAAAGGATATACCTAAGGTTATTAAAAAAAAAAAAATATTAGGCTTCTTCATGTGTTAAACATTTCCAATTTCTTCAGATAGCTCAGCAGTAATGTCCTTTGGTGTAGTAGTCCATACATGATAAAAATGCATGGAGACAACATTTGAAAATATCATCTGGGGGGTTATAAAGTACAAGCTCTCAGCTATAAAATAAACTGGTCCTAGCGATGTAATAATGTACAGCCTGGGGACTGTGGTTAATAATACTCTATTATATATTTGAAAGTTGCTAAGAGAAAAGATCTTCTCAGTTTTCATCACAAGAAAAAAAATATATGTATGGTGATGGCTATTAACTAGGTTTACTATGGTGATCATTTTGTAATATATACCAATAATAAATCATTATGTTGTATACATGAAACTAATGTTATCTGTCAATTATATCTGAATTCAAAAAACATATCATCTGGAACATACTGAGAAAGAATAATTTTTAATTATAAAAACCATGTATGAAATATTTCTCTTTTATTTGTCCTGCTTATAAAGTCACCATTAATGTTTTTTCTGAGTAAGTCCTTTTTGGACTCCATAAAGACCTGTTCCTATGGTTGTACCTAAAGAGTCTTACCAGAGGCTTCTCACTTAATTATAACATTGTAAATTATCCTTAATTATCTACTGGCAGAGCATTTACTTTGTAGATTACCTATACTACCTATACTAACTCAGGAATCCCTGCCCTTGTTATCTGTTAGATTCCAAATAAAGCTGCAGAGACAAGAAAGTAGCAGTCTGGTACAGAAAGGGAGACAAATGCCTGTCTGAAGGCATGTGTGTACATGTCTGTATGTGTAACTAGTGGGTAAATCACCTCCCTAAATATATGCATTTTAATTGTTCAAATTTTCTTTGTAAACAAAACCAAAATGAAAATGTGACTTTGGGAGTGATAATTTAATGACAGACCAGAAGTAATGAAGATAGAAATAGATAAAAAGGGAATAGTCATGGTAAGATAGAAATTGATGATTTTAAAAAATGGTTTAGAAAAACAGAAGGTAATTACATGCAGAGGCTACGGTAGAAATTAAGTAGATTGCTGTGAGCATGAGCAGCTCCAAGCCCGTTTGAGCCATTGTCGACCTTCTCCCAAACACAGATTTTGCCCACTTTGAAGGCACTCTCCTGAGGGCTTATTCACAGTTTGTTTTATGTATGTTCTTCCCAGTAAGGATTCCAGGAGCTTTTATCATAAAAGTCAGAATGGCATCTGTATCAATTTCTTGTTTCAGTTATTAATTTTTTTAATTTTGTAATTATTATAAAAATAATAAAATTGTTGAACCATTGGAGAGCTTTCAACTTATGAATTGAGTGACGCTGCCTCGTAAGATTTAGGGTACCTATAACGCAGCCAAATCTTGTTAGCCACCATGGTCATTTTGGCCATATGCAGTTCAGGTTTTTATTTTGATTCCTTTATTCTTTAATTTCATCTTCTATATATAGGTTGCAGAAGAGGAATCAGAAGGAGCATATGCTGAATTACAATGGTCACAAAGAGCATAAAAATTATAATTCTTCAAATTTACATCAAACTGATCTTCACTTGATTTATAAATTGTATTCACATGATCAAAATTTATTCTTGAAAGCATGTTAAGCTACTTCTAATATTTCAAGATACAATATTTTAAAAAGATAATATAATAGCAATGTGATAAACTGAAGTCATCTCTTACTGTTGTGAAATAAAACACAGAAATTGCAAAAATAAATCAGTAGGGATTTTTTTTTTTTTAGATAGAATTACCACGTTATAAAAGCTCTGTCCAATCTGTTTTCATATTACATCTGGTAATTACATTTCTTTTTTAAAGTGGTAATTACATTCCAAGCCACGTTTTAGGACATGCTATGTAATTCTGAATTTCTTAGCAAATCGTGCTTTCTTACTTCAAAATCACTTTACTGTATAACCATATAAAATGGATAAAATAAAAATTTTAATACCTCAGGAGTTTTTTTTCTATACTGTAATAGAAGTTTGCGAGTCTCAAAAAAAATTAGGAAATGCCACTCCATGGACATGTTGTAGATTTTAATATATCCATATTTTGGGTATATACTCTATCAAATAATATTATAACAAAATGGATTTTAATACATAATTTGTGTTTGGAAGGAGCCAGTAGACTCCCTTTCTGTCTAAACAAATAATACCATATGTAATATCTTTCCCGGTGAAAAAACATGTCATTGAACTATAGAAAGACCATTGAAATGCTCTTCTATCAGGCACTGAGATCCAGTAAATGTCAGACTTCCATGTTTTGCATTCAAATTTTGTTCAAGGAGTTATATTTCACTTTCAGTGTTGAAGTTCTAAATCAATCTCTCTGTCCACAAAATGCCACATTGGACATTAGAACTATTTCTGTAGAACATTTGGAAATTTTAGTCATGATTTAACTTGTTATCATGCATTTATTTATTCTTCCCCTTTCTATAGGCTAAGTCAGTGTTTTTCACATTGCAAGTATAACACAACTTAGTGATTTGGAACCAGCAAAGTTGTTTTGCTTTTGCTTTCTTCTTTTTTTAAATTTTTTTAAATATAGGTTTTCAGTAAGTTTAAGTAGTCTTTCTCAAAATACATGTTTTAATTATGTAGAAACATACATGTATGTGCATGTGTGTATATACTGAGTACTATTTAAAATTTCTTAATGTGAAAAAAAAGATTTCTTCCTATGTATAGGTTGCCATCCAAGAAGTTTGAAAAGCTATTGGTGTAAATGCCATACTTTATTCCATGCAGTTTGAGGCCTAGGAGTTTGAAATTTATGCCATTTTAATTTTATTGCAATTTGGATTGTGGCTCTCCTTTTCATCCTCTTAAATCCATGAAAAACTGAATTTCTCTGGAGTTACTGAAATTTTTTTTTAAGATTTTATTTATTGAGAGAGTGAGCAAGTGAGAGAGAGAGAGAGGGAACACAAGCAGGGGGAGCAGCAAGCAGAGGGAGAGGGAGAAGCAGACTCCCTGCTGAGCAGGGAGCCTGACATGGGGCTTGATCCCAGGACCCTGAAATCATGACCTGAGCTGAAGGCAGAAGCTTAACCACTGAGCCATCCAGGCGCCCCAGAGTTACTGAAATATTTTTATCTCAACCATGACCTGGGGCGCATGGGTGGCTCAGTCAAGCATCTGCCTTTGGCTCAGGGAGTCCTGCATTGGGCTCCCTGCTCATCAGGGAGTCTGCTTCTCCCTCTGCCCTGCAGCTCCTTGCCCCACTCATGCTCTCTCTCAAATAAATAAATAAATCTTTTTAAAAATGCTCTAAAAAAAAAATGCATGTACTATATTTATCACTGTAAGTATAATGAAATCATTTTTGAAACCAAGGCAAGGTCTAACAAATAAATTAACCACCATGAAATAACCACTTCACACTCTAATATAGTTATAATCAAAAAGAAAATCGCAAGTATTGGGAAGGACGTGGGAAAAAACAGATGTCTACATAAAAACTTGCTCATAGCAGCATTATTCATAATAGCCAAAAATGCCCCAGCAACTAATGAATGGATAAACAAAATGTGGTATATTCATACGATGAAATAGTATTTGGCCATAAAAACAAATGAAGTACTTATACATGTTACAGTATGGATGAACTTTGAGAACATTATACTAAGAGAAAGAAGGAGTCACAGTGGACTACATATTGCATGAGTCCATCTATGTGAAATGTACAGAACTGACAAATCTGTGAGACAGGAAGTAGATTAGTGGTTGCTAAGAGCTAGAGGGGAGTATTGAAGTAACTGCTATTGGGTACATGATTTCTTATTAGAGTGATGCAAGTGTCCTAAAATTGATTGTGTTGGTGATTGCACAACTCTGAGAACATACAAACCATAGATGACTTGTATGGTATATGTATTATATTTCAATAAAGCTTTTATTTTTATTTAATTAATTATTTTTAATTTAAATTCCAGTTAACATACAGTGTATTATTTCAGGTGTAGAATTTAGTGATTCAGCACTTCCTTACAATACCTGGGGCTCATCACAAGTGCCCTCCTTAATCCCCATCACCTATTTCACCCATCCCCCCACTCCCCTCCCCTCTGGTAACCATCAGTTTGTTCTCTATAGCTAAGAGTCCACTTCTTGGTTTTCATCTCTCTCATTTTCCCCCTATAATCATTTGTCTTGTTTCTTAAATTCCACATATGAATATCATGTGGTATTTGTCTTTCTCTGACTTATTTCACTTAGCATAATACTCTCTAGCTCCATTCATGTTGTTGCAGATGGCAAGATTTCATTCTTTTTTTGTGGCTGGATAATATTCTGTCGTGTATATAATACATATACCACATCTTTATCCATTCATCAGTTGATGGGCATTTGGGCTCTTCCTGTAATTTGGCTATCCTTGATAATTCTGCTATAAACATTGGGGTAGACATGTATCCCTTTGAATCAGTATTTTTGTATTCTTTGGGTAAATATCTAGTAGTGCAATTGCTGGTTCATAGGGTAGTTCTATTTTTAACTTTTTGAGGAACCTCCATACTGTTTTCCAGAGTGGCTGCATCAGTTTGCATTCCTACAAACAGTGTAAGAGGGTTCCCCTTTCTCTGTATCCTCCCCAACACATGTTCTTTCTTGTGTTAGTTTTCGCCATTCTGACAGGTGTGAGGTGATAGCTCATTGTGGTTTTGATTGCAACGGTGAGTGATGTGGAGCATTTATTCATGTGTTTGTTGGCCATTTGGATGTCTTATTTGGAAAAATGTCTATTCGTGTCTTCTGTCCATGTTTTAACTGGACTATTTGTTTTTTAGGTGTTGAGTTTGATAAGCTCTTTATATATTTGGATACTAACCATTTATCAGATATGTCATTTGCACATATCTTCCATTCTGTAGGTTGCCTTTTAATTTTGTTGATTGTTTCCTTCACTGTGCAGAAGCTTTTTATCTTGATGAAGTCCCAATAGTTTATTTTTCCTTTTGTTTCCCTTGCCTTAGGAAACTTACCTAGTTAAGAAGTTGCTACAGCTGATGTCAAAGAAATTGCTGCCTGTGTTCTCCTCTAGGACTTTAACGGTTTCCTGTCTCACATTTAGGTCTTTCATCCATTTTGAACTTATGTTTGTTTAGGATGTAAGAAAGTGGTCCAATTTCATTCTTGTACATGTTGCTGTCCAGTTTTCCCAACACCATTTGGTGAAGAGACTGTCTCTTTCCCATTGCATAGTCTTTCCTGCTTTACTGACGATTAATTGACCATATATTGTGGGCCCATTTCTGGGATTTCCATTCTGTTCCATTAGCGGTATCTATTTTTGTGCCAGTACCATACTGTTCTGATCACTACAGCTTTGTAATATAACTTGAAGAAGTCTGGAATTTTAATGCCTCCCACTTTGCTTTTCTTTTTCCAGGTTGCTTTGGATATTTCAGGTCTTTTGTGGTTCCATACAAATTGTAGGATTGTTTGTTGTAGTTCTATGGTGAAAAATGCTGTTGGCATTTTGATAGAGATTGCATTAAATGTGTAGATTGCTTTGGGTTGTATAGACAATGTAACAATATTTGTTCTTCTAATCCATGGGCATGGAATGTTTTTCCATTTCTTCGTGTCTTCACTTTCTTTAATCAGTGTTTTTTTTAATTTTATTTTATTATGTTGTTAGTCCCCATACAATACATCATTAGTTTTTGATGTAGGGATCCACAATTCATTGTTTTTGTATAGCACCCAGTGCTCCATGCAGTATGTGC